CCTGGAGGTGCTGCCTTGGGTGCTGCCTTGGTCATGGGTGCTGCCTTGGGCTTGGTTGGGCCGGAAGGGTATTTCGTGCACTGGCTCTGTGACCAGGTCTGGGGGCCCTCTCAGCCTCTTGGGTGGGGAACTCGAAGACCTGCTTCCGGAGACGACCCGGGCTGAGCAAGGTCGACGCTGAAGGGCTTGGTCGGAGAGGCGGCCGGCGAGGTGGGGTAGTCCACCGCGTCTGGGAATTGCTGCTGCAGCTCCAGGTCGTTCAGAATCAGCCGGTTGCCGTCGTAGGCGACGCTCAGGCTGTTCGTGGTCTCGCTGTAGGTGGCAGTGGCGAAGTTGGAGCTGATCCAGGCGGCCAGCCGGGCGCCCGTGTAGGCGCCCTCGCGCCCAGTTCAGCGTCCCGAGCGCTGCGTCGACCTCAGTGGAGAGGAAGCTTTTTGCGATTCTGATCTTGTAGACGGCCAGCCTGGCGAGGTGCAGGGACTCGCCCAGGTCGACCTCGAAGTCGCTGTCCGAGCCGGCCACCCTCTTGCGGCTGTCCACGTAGATGGTCGTCATCCTTTTCTTTAGGAAGCCGCCCGTTCGACGGATGATGGGGGACTGGACGGCTGCGACGGAAGTGCAGCAGGAAATGTTCTCAGAATGGAGCTGGCGGCCCAGGAAGCTGAGCGCCGCTCCCATCGGAGTCTTTTTCAAGCATGAAGCGCTCTTCGAAGCGCTTGTAGAACATTTCGTTCTTCGGTTTTAGGTAGTGCGCGAAGAGGAAGCTATAGGGTTCCCGGGTCGCCTGCTCATACATCCTGTGCAGCTTGTCCTGCCCTCACCCCCTGTGGCCTTCTTGGGGGACCCTCTTTCTGAGAAGGACCTTTCCTTACATTTGATGCTCTACCCCGTGTGCTGAAAAGGAGTGCCTGCGCTCAGGGTTCCAGTTTTGGGAGACTCAAGCTGCTTAAGGGCGCCAGGTATTAGGATTGCTAGTGCTTGCACTCGCGGCGTTATACTGGTGCCCTTAACTGTTGAGTTGCAGCTTGAGGCTCAAACCTTTCCTTTCCTTCCAATTTCAGGGCCTTAGATCTTCTCCCACCCACCCACCCAGGTTGGAAGAGTGAGTGGCCAAGTGGCTTACCTTTCAGTATCAGTTCGGGCGGGGCGCTTGCCTGCCCTCACCCCCTGTGACCTTGTTGGGGACCCCCTTTTCCGGGTGTGAACCCTTTTCCTTCTGGGGGTGAGAAGGACCTTTCCTTACATTTGATGCTCTACCCCCTGTGCTGAAAAGGAGTGCTTGCGCTCAGGGTTCCTCTGTTAGTGTTTTGGGAGACTCGAGCTGCTTAAGAGCATTTTTTGAGCCAACTCGCGACTAGCCAAGGCGCCAGGGTCACAGGCGCCTTTTGTTTAAGCGCCAGCGACGTCAATACTGAATATGATGATGGACAATGGAACATGATGACTTGCGATTCACTGACGCGACAAAACAAAGAATAATTATTATAAAATTGAGTGACACACACTTACTGTGCATGTTGTATGTTCTTGCATGTGTTTGTCCTTGTTTGCATTTGTGTCATGTATTTTTGCATTGTTTTTACACTTTTTAAGCACTTGGTTGTTTTTTTGCATGTTTTTGCACTTTTTGCAGGTTTTTTTGTATTTTTTGGCATTTTTTGCATTTTTTGTATTTTTTTGCATTTTGTTGCATGTTTTTGCATTTTTGCATCTTTTTGTATAATTTGAGATAATTTGAGATAAATTGAGGTAAAGTCTAAACCCCATGGATCTGGGACTCCTAATATAATCAATGACATGGCTATCGACGCCGACGTGTTTCAACAATGGCCAATGACTTTACATTCCCAATATTTTGCGGAGTTTGGTCAAGGCAAAACAATGAGTGCCCCAAAGCAAGAATTGGGGGCCAAACTCCTGTTTAGGCGTCATTCAGATGATAAACTTGCCAACATTTTAAACAAACCGTAGGCACACTCCTCCCACTTTAGCTGGTTGCCTCTATGTATACCTGTGGCGCGGCCTTGCTTTTTTTGTGAATCCAATTCTGTTGTCATCTAAAGCCAGCGGTTTCTTTTTCACAAGAGTTGACGAAGTGTTTTTGTTGAGTCGAACCAGTAAACCATCCATCGCAAGTGGGTGCTCGGGAAAACAAAAAGCAATTTTTAGCCCGGGGTGCAATGGCGCGTATGAAGGCTGCGGCTCGAACGCACGCCCCTTTAAAGAGTCGTTGCCAAAAGAGTAATTAGCGGCAACTTTTACCTGTGCCGGTATCTCAGCGGTCCACAGGTTCGCACGTAACAGAACCGAGCGGACTGAAGTCCAGACGTGTTCTGTGTTGTACTTAATGCCTGCAGTCAAAGACCCTAGGCTGCCTTGAATGCGTTCAAATGTTTAAGTGTTGTTCGAGTGGTTGACGTTTGTGCCAAAGCAGGTCGCACTTTCGGTGCCTGGTTCATTGCTAATTCCATTTTTTTTGGTGTTCTACGCCATTGTTTCGGGTAACCCTTGATGTTTGTTGTGGAAGTTGCTGGTTTTTCTGTTTGTGTTTTTCCTCCGAGCCACTTGCGATCACGCGGATCCGCAGTCTCGATTGAGTCAAATTGAGTAGACACACTTGCTCTTGGTGAGTGCTCGTTAAGCGGCCGACAACGGCATGATTGCCGAGAAGGCCCCTTTGCCATGTGCAAGTTGGCGTGTGTTGCTCCTGTGCAAAAGGCCTTGAGAACGTTGTCTGAAAGTCGTGCTTACTTACAAGCTTCTGCGTTTTCTCGTGGTGGTTAAGTTCGGATTTTAAAGCTGAAAGATTGGGTGTTAAAGCTTGGGAGTTCTGCCTTGGTTTGGTAGATGATCCGAAATTCGTTTCTCGTTTCGTTCTCATATTGCATTTTGCAAAGCCGCGACGAAGCATCAAGGAAACAACAGCAGAACACAAACCAAGACCACCGTGCCAGTTGACGGCGCAACTGCGCTGACGATGCTTCCCGAACCCAGCCGGGCCAGAAACTGCAGTACCTTAAAGAGCACAACGAGGACGAGACAAGCGTCGGCTGGTCTGCTCCAACGCAATGCAGTCAAAAGAAAAATGACAGATTGCGGTAATTTTGCCGAAGTTGATCAGTCCATGATGAAGCTTCTGTTTTTGCGGAGTTTTGGAGTCGTGACTAAGCTTCGGACTTGAACTTTGCCCAAGCAGAGTTCCAAATGCTGTAGCACACACAGAAAAAATACGAAGGTAAACCAGAAGCAGACACAGCACGGAAAGAAATGAATTTAGAACCAACACAAATCGGAAAGCAGTTTGCAATTCAACCCGCCGGTACTTACACATGTAAAGGTTCGCGCCGCAAACCACATCAACTTCCAGTGGTGCATAATGACATGCACACAGTCAAGAATTGGCAAGCAAGTTGCGATAAATAGTGTTTGACCTGCAGCCACGTTAAGTCTTCGATGCAGCGATCACGCAGGCTTGCAGTATTGCAAAGCCTTTTTGCCAAGCACTTGCGCGGAAGTCAGGAAGTTCAACTTGTTCGCTTAAACGTTTGGAAGTCAAACACGTCTTGTCCAGAATGAAGTTTGAGAAACTGTCTGGGTTTTTAAAGACCAGCCAAGCTTCCACGCAGGTGCTGATTTTGAGGTTGCCGCGCTCCACACCGCATTGCGTCTTTAAACTGCCACTTGAGTGAGACCTTTAGGCTGAGGATCGCGGTGCCAAAAGGGACACCGTTTGATTGACGTGCTGAATCACTCCTGCGTTTACAGCCTTAAAACCTTGTTTGCCTTCCAGGCCGAAAATGAGCCGCAACCACATCCGATGACAAACCTGAGAATCACGGCGCTGTCATTTTATGGCGCCAGCACGTAATGCCGCCTAGGTCGCTACGCTGGTTGGCAAGCAGAGCTGCCTTTTTCCAGCCGTTGTTGTTTTTCTTTTAATTTTCATTCAATAAAGTATATGTGGTTTTTTGCTTTATTCTCGGGAATTCGTAAACAATACAAAAAGTATGTATGTACAACAGAATACATATATGTAGAACATTATATATTTCTACAACGGTGATGGACGAAATCCTGCACTTTGAAACCACGGGAAACCATTGTTGGTTGGCATTTACAGGGAATCATCAATCCAGGGTTTCTTAGGTGGCACAGGATTTCGTCCATTCACAACATGGATGTCTATCTATCAGTTTTAGAATTCATATTTGAATTCTAGTGTTTATATTAACTCATATGTCGTTTTATATAATTTATCAATTTTGATATGTTATATATGCATAGGTACATGTACACATACATTGTTGACATTAAATTACACAATATATATATATATATATAATAGAATAGCAATGATAAAGAGATGCACGGTCGTTGGGCCCTTTTGGAAATCCGTTATTACACTTTAGTTATTTATAGCATGACGGGAAAACTATCAATTAAAAATACATTCTATATGTATTGTTGTATCTTTTCATGTCTAAATACATTTGATACTTTGTAAGATAAAGACACATACCGCAAACAATGTATTGTTTCTCCTTTTTGTGAGTGGATAGGTTAGTCTTGCATCGCTGATGCAAGTTCGTGGGCATTTGAGGACTTGAGTCGGACACCAAATCCCAACCGCGAGAAATCAAGCTCTCCAAGCGCGTAGACAAGCATTCTTGGGCTCCGGAGTTGGGCAACGCCGTGGCCGGGTATCGGCACAGACAAGCTGGGCCTTGTCCCGTTTCAGCGGGTACCGGCGCTTGTTCCAGGTACACCACGTTAGACTGATGGCCTCAAGCATGCAAGCTCCGAGTACCAGCTCGAAGCCATGACATGAATGACACTGTGGATGGACAAAATCCTGCACCACCCAAGACACCATGAGAAACCAGTGTTTGTTGGCATTTACAGGGGATCAATCATTCTAGGGTTTCTTAGGCGGTGCGAAATGGATTTTGTCCATCCGCAGCACTGAATTGCAGCAGCTCACACTGTGAAGCTGACGTTGTATGGTGACCCGCGATGGTCCGGCGGCTTTGGGAGTGCTGTGCGGGGCCAAGTGGCTGTGGGTCAACACCCTGTACTGGTGAACATAAAAATAGGTGGCAAATGGATGTTCATCCACCCCAAAATGGAGCCATAGGTCATGCCCCATGGCCAAGTGAACCGGGGCACGAAGTTTCATCCGCCCAGGGTTCATTTGCAGTGCAGAGAGGCAAAAATCAACTGCGGGCATTGGATCCATGGGGTATTTGGTCAAAACACCGCATTGGGTTTGATAAACACCCGTCGCAGAATCCGTTTTTTCACGGGTTCCGTTCTTTTCCATTCGCGCGGCGCATGGCACGCTCCTCGCCTTTGATTCGCAGGCAGCGGCTGGTGGCGAAGCAAGTGGAGATTCAGGTGTGGGGTGTGGATCCCAGCGTCAAGTTCGCGCAAGCACCGGAGATGGGGGTTTCTCCAAAATGGCGGACCCCTTGGAGGGTTCTAAAGGCGAGTCAAAAGGAAACAAACCATAAACAAAGGTCCACAAATTTCAGAAACACCCAGATGAACACGTGTCAGACGCAGCTGACTCTGTGGCTTGTTCGTTTCCCTATAGTTCTGGGAGAACCATGGATAATTATTTCCCGACAGCCGAAAGCTATAGGGGTTCTACTTCGAATAAAGAGGGGAAAGTGATTTGCGAGATTGACGGCTGGCTGCTAGGGGGCATGCAGGTTGGTTCTGCTGGTGCAGGTGCTGCTTTGGGGAGTACTGGTGACGCTGCGGACGCATTTTTACGAGATTGACGGTAGGGCCCAGGTGCGGGGGGGTGCTGTTTGGGTGTGCTGTTCGGGGCGAGATTGGCGGCATGCTGTGGGTAGGTGCTCTTATGGGACGCATTATTGCCGAGATTGACGGCCGTGTGCTCTGGGGGGGGTGCTGTTTGCTGCACTCTTCGGGGGATGCAGTTAGAGGCGCTGGCAACCATCAGACTGTGTTCGCTATCTGGGATGTATGCTGGTGAGCTTTTTTTGTGCGTGTGTGTGTGTGTGTGGGTGCGTGCGTGCGTGCGTGCGTGCGTGCGTGCGTGCGTGCGTGCGTGCGTGCGTGCGTGCGTGCGTGCGTGGGTGCGTGCGTGGTGGTGGGTGGGTGGGTGGGTGGGTGGGTGTGTGTGTGTGTGTGTGTGTGTGTGTGTGTGTGTGTGTGTGTGTGTGTGTGTGTGTGTGTTTGGAAGGAAAGCCTAAAAGGACCCCTCCAAAAGAAGCACACAAAGACTAAAAAACATTCAAAAAAGAAAGCAAATGCAAACGAAACATGTTGGCCCATTGTTGAAAGCGCCTTTCTGCGGAGGCTACAACAGCGCACTCCATGCCTGCCACAAGGCATCGTGGTGGCTCGGCAATGTAAATCCGCAGACTCGTGAAGATTGACATGGGGCCTCCGTCAGCAACCCAGAGGAATCGCTTTTGCACCACGAACTGGCCAAAGTCCCACAATTTGTTTTCCGAATCTCCTTCAGGGGAAGGACCCCCTTCTTGGGTGGTTGTCAAACATGGCAAGGATCATTTCTGCAGCTTGCCAGTAGCTTCCCGAGGGAGCCCTTCTGGGAAAGGGGTGCTTAGAGACTCCGAAAATAGCCCCTTTTTGGGTTTGGTTGAAAGGCGAACCAAAAGGAACCCCAAGACGGAGGTTTTGCTAGGAGATGAACCCAAATGGGCCTAAAAGCCCGTGTTCTCCATACCGACTGGGAAAATGACTTAGGAACCGTCTGCGGTTCTTGAGGGATGACGCTTCCTGCCGTGGGTTGTGAAGGGGTTTTACCACCCAGAAAGGTCTTTTAGCCCGTAGGGCGCCAAACTTGCAGATCATCCAGTTGGGAGGGTCTCGATTGCGAGGGTTGTCCGCACAAAATGTCGGGTGCCCCTTTTTTCCAGCTTCCTTGTCTAGTCCAACCACTTTGTGACATTCTATTTTTGAATGGCACAGTTTAATCCACAGTTTTTCTCTCAACATTTCTTTTAAACAGCCATTTGTCTCACCGACCATGTGCCAAAGCTGTTTTTCTTTTAGCCCATGTCTCACGCGATCCTTTTCCAACCCGAAGAGCACGATCAGCACGGCGACGGCGAGTCGCTTCGTCGGCTGAGGTGGCAGCAGGCCTTGGATTTGCAGGACTTTCCGGTGGAGAAGGCGCCGAGAGGTTTCCGGCGGCCGAGTTGGGGCGGCCGAGTTGGGGCGGCCCGAGTTTTGGAGAAAAACGGCCCCCTTTGACCCCGTTAAAACCGGGAGAGGGGGGCGGTGGCAGTTTTCTCGGTGTTTTGGGTGTTCGGTTGGAACGCTTTTTCTTTTTTTTTGGCGGTTTAGAGGTTGGCGGTGTTGGTTTGAAACACTGCCTTGTACACGTAAAAAGGCTGCTTGAAACAGGCTCCTCGTTTCTTTTGTGGGGTGATCTTTTGCAGGGGGCTCTGTGACTAGCCACAGGAAGGGTCCTACCAAGTTTCGGAGCTGGACAATGACGGTTTTACCGGGGTGAAAGAGCTAACTTTTAACCCCAAGGAAGCAACTTGGTCCAAGTCCAACTGAGAGGTCCACATCATCCGTCTCAGGACGTGTTCAGCGTCAGCACGTCAATTTCCGTCTTCCAGGAGAGGGCTTGATCTGGGTTTCAAGTGAAGCCAAAAGGAAAAGCACCATTTTGAAAGGCCGGGAAAAAGTCACACTATTCGCCCTGGTTTGCCCCTTCGCATGACATTCGGCTCAGTTGGGTCTACTTGCGACAGGACGCTGGTCGATGGGACTCTGCGCTCCGCCTACTGCAAGATGCTTCCAGCGAGGCGGATGGAGTTTGCGCCATTTGCGATTGCAGAAGTCTAAGCCGTGGTCATATGGTTGGTGAAAAACCAATGGGATACCATTTTGGGGTAGGTGAATTCACCACCCATTTTAGAACCTATTTTAGTGGTTGGATTGGGATGTTCACTGGGGGTACGGCATTTTGACCCATGGTCACATGGGTGGCTTTGGCATAGGACGTCGAAAGTGGGGACTTTCTTGATTGGGGACGGTCCCAGCAGGAGACCAGCACAGAAGCAAACCGCATGACTGTCATGCCTGCAGCATCATCACCATTTGACTGGCTGTGATGCTTAGCCATTTAGCAGCTGGTTGTTTCTGACAGGTTATAGTATGGCCAACATGGGTGTGTCTTTTTTGAGGGCCCCTTTTTCAAGGTGGTTTTAAAGAGACCCCAGCATGAGTAATGGCCACCATTTTTGGGGGTCTGATTCCTAAAAAGGATCGACACCCCCATTCGTTTCAAGATCTTGATTTGTATGTTCAGGGCTTGAATTTGATATATATATATATTATAGACTTACTCCTTTCCAGGGTTCCCTTTTTCTTGTCACGTCTTCTTGGGGTAGATTCAATACACCACCCCTGTCCAGGGTTCCTTTCTGACTATCTTGGGGCAGTCGTAAACCCAGGAATGCACCCAGACAGGGGTTCAGGAGTCGGTTTTCCTTTCATCCAGGGGTGCTTGTACATACCCTTTTACATGCCCCTTGGACAATGAACCCAAAAGGCCTGCTGATGTTCATACCATATCCTCTCCCCAAAAGGGGTACTTACCCCTTAAGTGTGTTGGAAACCACGGAAGCCAAGAGCTATGAACAAGGGGGTTTGTACTTCCAGCCTCCTTCTTGCCAACGAAAACGGGTGGATCGGTGCAGGCCCTGGAGCTCAACATCGTGGTCTACGGGGCTGGGACTCTGTGATTTGCAATGTTTCTCTGGGTTTCGGGGGTTTCGGGCGTTTGGCAGTTGGTTTTGGGCGGTTTCTCCAAATGGGCTTTTTAGGGCGTCTGGCAGTTGGTGGGCCGAAGTTTCTTCCTGCAGAAAGTTTTGGTGATGTTCTTGTTGTATGATGTTTGGTTTAGTTTTTGCGATGTTCGGAGGTGATGTTCTTCTTTGATGTTTGGTTTGGTTTGATTTCCTGGATAACTGGAGTTTCTCTCAAATGGCTTGTGACCCCTGGTTTGGTCTTCACAGAAACAGCCAAAGGAATCCGTCGCCACTTGAGACTTGAGGCGCACTCCTGAAAAATTCCATTTGCCACTACTAGAAAGTTCTGTAAGGAGAAGCGCCGCGGAAATGGGTCCACAGAGTTCCTATTTTGAGAAACATCTCTTCCCCTTTTGCTTGGCATTCCAAGGGAAAGACCAAAAGAACCCCTCTTTTGCTTGGCATTTCAGAGACCAAATGGAACTCGTTGGCACCAGTGGCCCCGCCTCGCGTGCCACGCCTTCTTTGCCCGCGAGGCGGCCGCCGCCTGCGTGCGGCGCCGCTGGCGGGACACCGTGGTGTGCCTCGGGGAGGCGATGCGACGAGGCTGAGCGGCCGGGAGCGAGCCGTGTTTTTCTCCTTTTTTTTATCCTTTTTTTTTCTTCGTCCGACTTGGGACAGGGTTTCCCATGGTTGCCGTTAAAGTTTTCCTTGGGTTTCCCTTAAATTGTTGGATCCTGGAAAGGTTTCCCTTGAGTTCCCTTGATTTTTTCCCTTGGTCTTTTTCTTGGGGTTTCCCGTGGGTTTGCCTTAAAGTTTCTCTGGGGTTTCCGTTTTTTTCTTTTTCCTTCTTCTTTTTCGAGGGTTTCCCTTGCACCAGGGATCCTTCTTTCCAGGGAAAGCCTCCGGAAGCGATGGTTGAAATGAAGGGAACATCAACCAGAATATCTGGGTCACTGGACGGGCACCCTGCAAAAACTGGATGAATGGTCGTGTTGGTGTGTTGCTAGCCTCTTTTGGTTTCAAAAGGAGAAAGGGCATATGGGGGTTCCAAGTCCTATTCTGAGACAAACCTAAGCTATGCTTTTGCTGACAGGGTTGGTGGACATGAATCCCCACGATTCACGCTCAAATTGGAAACCTCTTCAGGAGGTTGGTTCTTTTTGCTTTTCCGTAAAACCATCAAGCATGGGATTTCTATTTTTGAGAACCACCCAGATGGCTTAGATTTCGGAGAGACCACTGCAGTTGGCTTTGAAATAAGCTGTACAGCCAGTTTTTAGCTACGCAAAGGCGTACAATTCACAAGCTGGTTTTTCGCCCAAAGGGCAATTTTAAACAGAGTTTGGGTGGGGTGGCGTTTAGAGGGAACACGCAGTGAACCCTGTGTTGCTGGTTTTGCAATTTTAGTATGCATACCCCGGTCCCTGCTATTGTGGGGATTCCTCTCTGACTATACAATGTCTGAAGGTCAGTCAGGGGTAGCAAATATTCGCTGACAACTTGTTTCGGGAACCTCGGCTGATCACCCCACACTGCTTGAAGGCCTCTTGGGCCGATGTTGCACGGAATCAAGCCTGCAGTACTCGGAGTTTAGGGTGTTGATACGAGCGCGTCGGTTCTTGTGGGCATCCCCAAAGGGTTTCCTTCAGCATCCAAAAGGTCTTCTCTGGAATTCCCCGAGACGACCTGCATCTCGAGCGCCGTTTTTGCAGTTTGGTCTTACATAGGAAGCCAGTCTAGGTTTCTGGCTGGTCTTCGTTTAGGTTTTGGGTGTGTGACTTTTTTGAGGGTACCCCCGTTTGGTTGGTTTTAAACGGAAACCACAAGGACCACCGAAGCCATTCTGTGGGTCCGATTCCTATTAACACACACACACCCATTCGCTTCAAGATCTTGAACTGTATATTCAGGGCTTGAAATTTGGTACAGGTTTATTGTGGATTGTGGCTTGCAGGATGCGCTCGGGCCATAGAGTTTTGAGCTGGTTTTGGCTGCATGTTCAATTTGGAGGGACTCCTGAAATTCGGCCGCGGCTATGAATGTCGACCACTTTGAACTGACTCTGCAAATATGATCTGCACAAGGAGATTCCTCCACTTGGAGTTGCTTGGGGTTGGCCAATCTGGAGGCAAAAGAAGCCCTTGCATTCTACTTCCCAGGCCCCCGATCTTAACATCGAAAATATCTCCCGGACCAGGCTTCAGGATGTTTCGATTTGCTAGATAGCACGTCTCTGCACATATCCCCGAAAGTATTCACCAACATGGAGATTTGAAAGGCAACCAGCAGATACGAACCAAGCAACCAAGCAACCAAGCAACCAAGCAACCAAGCAACCAAGCAACCAAGCAACCAAGCAACCAAGCAACCAAGCAACCAAGCAACCAAGCAAGCAAGCAAGCAAGCAAGCAAGCAAGCAAGCAAGCAAGCAAGCAAGCAAGCAAGCAAGCAAGCAAGCAAGCAAGCAAGCAAGCAAGCAAGCAACCAAGCAAAGCAACAAGAAAGCAAGCAGCCAGCCAGCCAGCCAGCCAGCAAGCCAGCCAGCCAGCCAGCCAGCCAGCCAGCCAGCCAGCCAGCCAGCCAGCCAGCCAGCCAGCCAGCCAGCCAGCCAGCCAGCCAGCCAGCCAGCCAGCCAGCCAGCCAGCCAGCCAGCCAGCCAGCCAGCCAGCCAGCCTTGTTGTTCGGCCAGTCTTCAGGCCTGCAGGTTAGTCTGGTGGCGCAGAACAACGTCCTGGCGGCCTGCGAGGCAGGGGAACTTGAAATTCGGACGAGATCCGTTCGCACCACTTTGAAGCTGTGGTTGAAACCATAACGTTCGTTGGTAGAAAACAGGGAAATCATCAGTCCAGGGGCTTCTTAGGCGGTGCAGAAGTTCGTCCAACAGTAGGACGGAGATCATAATGCGGGGTTCACGTCACCCTCCGGACGGCCTATAAAGGCCGCGCCGCACGGTTCTTCTCCCAGTCTGTTTGTAATTTTGGACAACACTCCATGGATAGGATGGTCTTCCAAATTCCTCCGCCAGGGTAGGTGAAGGGGAACGCTTTGGGGTGGAACTGGGATATGCATCATGCTGGCTCGTAGGTGTGATTCTGGTCACCTTGCGGTTTCAAACCGATAAAGCAACTCTAGCGTATTGTTTTCTTGCCTTCTCGTTTTGGGTGTTGTATATGTTTCTAGCCTTAGTACTACCAAGACCAACAGTCAAAGAGTCAAAGGGCTAGTAATTAGCTCAGAGTCTGAGAGGTGAACAGCACTTAGAGCTTTGCTGATTTCGACACCATTCGTATGTTTTTATCGCCCTCTGGCAAGGGGCCCGGCTCGTCTTTTGGCGGTCTGTTTCTCATTTTTCGGGGGTGGGGATGGTGAGAAGTACATAACGACTGCACACACACACACACACCGAGCGAATTCTGTCAACTATGTTTCTTCTGGCCGAACTCACCACCAGTGAGTTCTTGGCGGCTTCCAGCTTGCCGGTTCTTTTCCAAACCCACCACATAGTTGCTTTCAGAATGTCTGAACACTTTGGCAGTCAGCCGAGCTGTTTGCTAAAGCAGAGAAATACGTTCAGGTCACATTGGTAGCGTCCCGTCTACCTCCACCGACCTTTGGGGCCTTTGAGTCATTCCCAGGACGCGGAGCGCTGGGAGAAAGCCTTGTCCCTGCTGGACCGGGGAAACGCGGCTGAAGTTGCTGGAGACAAACATGTCCGCTTTGCGAGGTTCCCGAAAGCAAAAAACACACCTGGCCAGATGGGTTTGTCTCGAACTGGATGTGGGGCCTTTGAAATGGCAATGGGTTCAACTTGCTTTGGGGTTGCTATGAAAATCCCCGAGAATTTTTCGACCAAGGATTCCAATCCTCAGTGCCCCCCCCCCAACAAAAATATTAGGAAGGCCTTTTTGGTTTGCGTTAGGGGGAACCAGCAGGAATCCAAGGTTACCGCACATGGGTACGAGAAGGTTGCGTGTTCCGCGAATCATACGTGAGGTGTGTCCACTATTTTTTAAAACGGGAACTCCCATTCATGGGTGTTTCCCCAAAGACCCCAAAGAAGGGTACTCAACTGCAAGCGGGAGGTTCCTCGTGTCAGCTTTGTTCCTTCCAAGTTCGAGGAGCCTTTGACCAAGTTCCACCGTTCTAGTCCCAAGACTCGCTCCACTCGAGGCTCTGGGGGCGAAGTTCAACTTTCGGGGGACTCGATCCGAGTTCGATCCGTTTCCTTTCGGTTGCCATGCCTTCATGGACTGGTTGCGAGCCACCGCTCGTTTTTTGGAGCGGCGCCCCTTTGGGCGCGCGCGAAAAGGAAAGCTTCCAACCTGCGCCCTCGAAGGTTGACCCCTCATTTTTAGAAACTCCCGGGTAGAAATCAGGGGGGTCCCTTTCCTGGAAAGAAGGGACCCCGCTGGTTAACAACCGGGGGGTTTGTCAATCAGGGTCAACATGATGGCGTGGACATTGCCACCATGTTACATGGGGGGTGCTGTTTCTTGGCCTGGCGCGATTCAAACAACAGCTTTTGAGGTGTTCATCCTGAGTTCGCCTAGAGAGTTGCGGTGAACACTGCAAGCTTTAAACCCTTCAGAGGGTTGCTATGATCGCGAGACTTGGTTGGCGATACCCTTTGAGGTCCCCCCTTGACAGGAGGCAGCGACACCTATGCCGCTTCACCCTGGTTCTTAACACCTCCCTGCACTTTTTCTTGAAGGATTTCAGATGAAGCAGTATGCAGGGTGTCCCTGGATTTAGTGGGATCATCACGTTTGGAGCCCCTTTTAGTGGGATTGATTCCTGTCTTGCACATGTGAGGAAAGAAACGATCTTGGTGCGCAACCCTCAAAAAGGGAGCCCTCAAACAATCGCACCCCCAAATTGGGGCTTCAGAATCTGTGCCAAGAAAACCAATTTTCATTGAACCTGACGTTCGGGGGATCCTGGTTTGGACCATGTTCCTGAAGGGACCCCCCAACCGCCAGGTTCCATCAGAGGGTACCCGCACTACAGATTTTTCAGGGCGATTTTCCACCCTGCTTGCACACATGGCTAAAAAAAGACACAAGCAAACAACTTCTTTTTCGAAGAAAACCTTGGAGATACTGGTCATTTCCCCCGTTTTTTTTTTCCCCGGAAGGAGGAGGGGCAGCGCCAGCACTTGCGGCCTGGAGTCGTGGTGATGAGCAGCGCCTGGCTCGGAGTTTACGTCTGCCCAGACGTGGCTACGGAGCCATGGGTTGCAGAACCTATGGCGAGCCCATTTTGGGGTGGATGAACCTATGGCTCCATGTTTTTCTTGAAAGAACCGCCAAACATGGGATCAACAAGAGACACACCCATAGAAATATAACAATGGGGCATAGCCTATGGCTCCGTTTTGGGGTGGAGCTTTCGCCCCCAGTCTTTTTTTAAACAGCCTGTGACCTAATAGGGGGGTTTTAATTTGTTTGGGGTCAACAGGAACCATTTGCGTAGCAACGGGTTTCAAAGGGAAACCAATGGAAACCAAGCATTTTTAGGGTCTCTGTGCGTGTTCTTTTCGGATGATGTCTTGTGCCGTTTGAAAGGGAAACCGTTGGGAAGCTGGACCCCATTTTTTGAGGTCTCCAATTCGGAGTTTGTTCGGGCTTTTTGACCACCACCATCCCATTTCTAAACTTTCAGGGAAACCACAGCGAAACACACGTCCATCTTGGGTTCCCACTATTTTGTCTCAACGGCCTGCAAAGGACAAGTTGGCCAACCTAGTTTTGAAGGAGCACAAGAGCAAGTGAGCTGTGCCTGCCTCTCCTTTGGAATTATAGATGCAGAAAGAGACGGAGTCCCACTTTCATCCCGGAAGTAGAACTGTCGGTGACCCCAACCGTAACCAAAGATAAAACGCGGCGCACTTTGTTGCACGAGCGAAACGACAGGCTTATTGGTTCCTCATGTGGCGCCTGGCCCCTGGCAGTCCGTTCGGTTTTGCGCTCGCTTAGGTGCCGCGAGCGCGTGCAGTTGGGAGTGGCCGCAGGCTTGCGGACTGCTGGAGAAGGCGGGGGAATTGGGGAAAGGCCTAAGTGAAACATGGGGTGGTCGGGGCCAAGTACCCTTCCTCCGACACAAATTAGCACCTGGGAGGACCTGGAAGATCAATTTCCTCTTGAAGGGACCCCTCTTTCAAGTGCCATGCTGGTCGGGACCAATCAAGTGGGGTGGGGAGGGTGCCAGAAGATGGGAATCTGGTTGATTGAAAGCATCTGTTTTTTGGAGATGATGACTCACAAACAGAGTTTTGTAGTGTGCAGAGGACCCACCTGCTAAAACTGTCATGATCGCTGCATGTTTCATTGCCAGGCTGTCAGTAGACCTCTCTGCCCGTTATTGAGTTAAAAAAAATGTGAGTGGCTGCAAACGAATTGGGAGAGACTCCAAGTGGTTAGAGTCTTCTAGGTTGCTTTTGAAATGTTTGCAGCTCCCTAGTTTTGACAGTGACAAAGTAGACACCGTAATTTGGCCTGCCCCTAAGTTGGCATTTTTTTGTGGTTCTTTGACGTGGCTCAATTTACCTTCAGCATGAACCGTGATTTAAATCATTTTGTAAGTCCCCGTATTTCTTTACTAATAGGATGTATCCCCCGCCATACGACACTCATACCCAAGCAAGGAGCCTTCATTTATCTAGATTCACCTTTGAGAACCGTAGGGGTCTATAACGCGCTGCTTTCTAAAGGACATGCCAACGTGCAAACGGTGCATTGCCAAATGGGCCAATGATTTGGACAAGGGGATGTAAAAGAGTTATGGAAAAGTCCAGTCCTGGGTTTGGCGCAATCCGATTTTGCGAGGCGTCCAACGATGCAGGTGCACTTCCATGTCGGAAGGATTGTACGAACCGAGCATTTCCCACACGGAACTTGGGTGCTGTACAAGCACCAATTTATTTGAGAGGTTTTCAAGACTACTTTTGGGACATGTTATCCTTGACACCCGTTCAGAAGATTTTGTTACGGCACAACCTCCCTATTGGCGCACCTCAATATCACTACTCCTGTTTCTAACTTCCTCCACATTCTTCACCCTAAATGTCACCCTGAGTTCCCAAAGCCCAAGCCCCCCCTCACCCCACACCCCACCCGCCCCACCCACCCCACCCCACCCGCCCTACCCCCCAGCCGACCACCCGCCCCACTCCCCACCCCCCTACCCCCACCCCCCACCCGCACCCAGCCCCGATTCCTGGAATCCAGGCGATGCAGGCGGGGGTCAGTCTGGACGCTGTGGCCTTCAACACCGCCTGGGCGCCCAGCGTGTTTCACTTTTGGTTTCGCTTTTGGCTCGGTGTCTTTGTTTCTTGGATTTTGAGGTTCAAGCCCGCTCTTTTTGTTTTGTTTTTTGGCTTGAGTTGTGTTTTTTCTCCTCGGTTTTTTTTCTTCTTCTTTTTTTCGGGTTTTGTCATTTGTTTTCGGGCTTTTTTGGTGTTGTCTTCGGGTTTTGAGTGTTGTTCCGTTTGGACGTTCTTGAGAAGTGGGGAACCGTGGCACGCAAATGGGCCAGGTTGTGCTTCAGCCAACCCCTGGAAAGGTTGCAGGGAGTCGCTTGGCGCATGACTTGTCTGTCACCAATATTGTCTCTAGGGAAGGGCAGGAGGGGACATGTCTGTTTTGGAGTTGGTGCCTGTTTCTTGTGGAGAAGGACACGCCACCAACTGTTTTTTTTGGGGCCCCCCTCACAGAGGCACAGTGAGACGTGTTGGGCCGTCCCACGTCGTTGAATTGCGTGGAACTTGTTTGTGGCAGTTTGTGTCCAAAGTGTCATCATTCGTACCGATGACATTCGGCGCGCATGTGTTTCTGGTACTCTTTTCATCCAACCGTGACCCACTTGTTTGTGTCTTTTTGTGCAGGGATGGGTTTCACCCTTTAAGACTTTTTGAAGGACTTGACTCAGTCGGCTAAAAAAAGGCCTTCCCAGACTTGGTGAACATCGCCGATCGTTTCTTTGGGATATGTTTGAGTCATATTCAGAGGGTGTTGGTGCTCATTCGACTGGCCCGCGGCATGGGAAAGTGAGGTGATTACGGCCACGGGGCGCGGGGAGTGTTGGTCCTCAGCGCTTTGCACCCTGCAGCAGGCGGATCGATCGATCGCCAGATCGGGGGAAGCTCAGTTTGGGGCTGGAAAACAACAAGGATCCACACGGTTTGCTCCTTAAGCCTGAAGGTGGTGGAATTTTAGGGTTCTCAAAATGAGTTTCTGTTTCGGGTTTGCTTGAGATCACCATGGGGATTTCGAGGGTGTCGTTTGAATGGACCCAGTTTTACTCTTGTCAACGGCCACAGGCTAAGATTGCAACGAATGCAACATATAGATGACTGAAAAGAACTGAGGGCAGGGGCTCGCTTCATTGCAGCGGGAGGCAGCTGGGGAGCTACAGCCATGGTCCAAGGCAAAGGGCTAGTGGCCCACGCGTTGCCTCACGGGCAAGAGCTACAGCCGTAGTCCAAGGGCAACAGGCTGGTGTAGGCGAAGCACCAAGAACTGAGGCGCTTTTACAGACAACCTCAGCCGTCGTTGAAGGGTCAACTGAAGGTGCAAGAGCTCACCGGGTTCAGGCAATAGGCCAGCCGCGTGCTTGGCTGTTAGCGCTTGGCCCTTGGGTCCAAGGTCAAGCGGACGCAGTTGGAGCGGATTTGGGCCATGCGGTGTGGAAGACCTTTATAACCGCTTCCTGGTGGGCCGAGGCGAATATCGCACCGCTTTTGTGTACACCCTTTGATGAATCGGGCGCGGACATTAGCCAGCACCCAACGCCTGAATGTGTCTTCTTTTTTGGGGTGGGGGGTGGAAGTGTGGCGTCCACATTGTTTTTAGCTTTCAAAGGGCGTCACGCCGAAGCCAACTCGTAGTTGTAGAACATTGGGTTTGAGGATCGCTTTGGTGACGCCAACGCAACCTTCTTTGAAGCAACAAAGTGGTCGTAGCCACAGCCATGAGCCAACCAACCATTTTCGCTCTATCAGCTGAGACGTTTGGAGACTGAAGAGTTCCTGAGTCTCAAGGTCACTCCCCTGTTTGCCACCATTCTTTGGGGGGTGAGGCCTCATTTTTGGCCTCATTTTCCAGTTTGCTCCGTGGAAGACGAGACGACTCACTGGCTGACCGGCTGACCGGCTGACCCCTCAGGCCGTGGACCGCAAGCTGGCGCAGAAGCGATCCTTCCGCGCCGCCATGGTGCGGGGCCCAAGCGCCTCGCCTCGTTTCGGGCGGAGCTAGCCGCCCCCCCCCTCCCCCGGCCGATAGACAGAAACGCCAGGGGCGGCTGATGTCCAGTACCTGGGGTACTAAAACATGGAACTCTGCCTTTCTTGAATGCATCGCAAAATGGCTCCAAGTTTTTAGTCCGGAAAATTGTGTCGGGTTCTGTTCAGGGCCCCTTCTGTTGAGTTGAGAAAAAGGCAGCCAAAGTCCAGGGACAAGAGGGGTGATTTTTGCACAAAATCAACCCTTAGAAGGCGTGGTGCCGTTGGTCTGGGGAGAGGTTTGCAGAGGTTTTGAGATTTCCGTGATCATCGAAGCTGGAGAAGATGATTGTACTTGCGGGGACTGTGGAAATTTGGGTACATGCTTGGTGGCAATGTAGATGCTGGATGGTTGAAAGCGACACAAAGGTTTTGCCTCAGCTTGAAGTGTAAATCAGACCAACATGAAGCCCAAGCAAGGGGCTTGACACTCAGAAGCGCGGAAATCAGAAGACCAACATCAACTTGAATACTTAGCCATTGGCAAGATGTCGCAGGGCAAAGGTGGACCATCTTGGGTCAGACATGGGGCCGTGCGTCAAAGTTGGGGATATGGACGTTTTGGAAAGGGCAACATGATTCAGCAACCATTTGCAGGAGGCGATTCGCAGTCTTGTTGCCTCGGATTGGAAACCTCCGTTGTCGTGCTTTAGAAAGCCTCTTGTGCTCCAACACTGGGGAGCGCAAGACGCCACAGTAACCTGGCACGCCGTACTAGATCTATTATCTACTGTACAGCAGCAAACATATCCATGCCCCAACATGTGTGGGTCTGGCCGGAGTCTGGCCTGTTGCAACCGCGGTGGCTCATGTCATGTGCCAGGCTGACTGGACGGCCCCCAAACTCAGCCGGCTGTTATTTGTACCAAACGTAGGCCGGAATGAATTCCATTTGAATAGACAGACAACTTTTAAAAGCCATGAGGTAAGCTACCTGGCCAAATTTTCACGGTGAATGCCCTCTAACATTGTTGGGCAAACTCCCACGTATTTCTGATGTCCACGAAAGGGTCCTTCAATTTCCCGCTGAAAACCTTGTTTCCATATCTGCATTGCCTCGCTTGAAGCCGACTTTCGACCTTTGTGTATTTGCTTGTTTGGTCCCACCGTTTCAAAGCTTTCCAGACAGCTCCTCCCTGGCACTTCCACTAAGACCGAAAATAGAAGCCTCCATGCTACCCTTTTAGGATGCAACCCCCCCCCCCCCCCCCCCCGTGTTTTGCTCCTGAAAGGGTACATTGCAGAAAAACATCGGACAACGCACCAGTCGCATGCGTCACAGGAGCTAATGAAGGGACGCCTCTGTGAGAGGGAAATGGTCTTCCAGGGGTAGGGTGCGCTTTTCAAAAGTGGTTGGTGAGAAAAACAACATCATGTCTTCTGGTGCCCAGGAAGATTTCCACCAACCCGTCAACACCCTCCACCAAACCCCCCCAACCCGGCCATTTTATGCTGGTCTCCATGGGTGTTCTTCGGGTTTTCCGCAGGTTTCCAGGGGTTTTCCGCGAATTTCCACGGGTTTTCCACGGGTTTTCCGCGGGTTTTCTGCGGGTTTCCCGTGGGCCTCGCTGGGGTTTTTCCGCTAATCTGGCGCTGAGGCCGCGGTGTCCTCGAGCCCCGAGGGCTGGCAGGTGGCCCTGGCGCCGCCCGGACGAAGCAGCGGGACAGCAGACGCGCCAAGTGCTTCGCCCCCAAAAAGCCGCGGAAACCAAACGCTCGGAGGGTAGCTGTGGTGGTCTTTTTTTTTCACCTGCTGGCAGGGCGGATTCGGCGATTTTTTGGGAGGTTTTTGCTTCGGCGAGATTTGCTCCTTTTTCTTGAGAATCCGGAGCCGGAAGGAAACTGCGAAGGGGGCGGAGTGCTCGGAAACTGCGTGAAGACGCTTTTGTGTCGTATTCTTTACGCTTCGGGAATAGCTACGATGCTTTTTCCGTGTCTTAAAGTAGGGTGCTCCCCCCAAACAACAGGTTGGTTTCCTTTTGGAATGCACCCATGTAAGAAGGTCGATCTTTTGAGAACCCCAAGATGGACTTTAGTCGAGGGCTTCAAGTTTTGTGTCTTGGGGCACATGACAAGACGGGATTGTGTGTTTGGTTCCATGTTGGGGCTTTTTGGGGCTGGGTCACCCTAGTCAAGCCTTAATTACAGATTGATGAAGCAAACGACTGCGAGTTCAGTATTCCCAAGGGTTGACCGATCACGACTGACACTACCCAGAGCTCATGTGGAAATTGATATCACTTGCAAATGCCTGCTGGCCACAATGCCAACTTTTGTGGAGAGGATTGCCCGTTGAAGCGCATCAGCTGGCGTTTTTCATTAGCAAAGGGTCGCCTTGGAGTCAGTATTGGCTTCCCTTTGATTCCAGAAAACAGTTGGTACCGACTCCAAGAAAGATAACCCCAAGGCCAAACTCCTAAACAATTCGGGAGTGGGGATATTCCCACTTCTGGAAACATGGGGGGCACCCCCAAAAAGCGGCCAAACCGTGCGATTTGCCGCTGGCCCGCCCTGCGCTCTGGGCCAGTGTTTTGAGGCTATATGAGGCTATCGAGCGCTGAGTTTTGGGTTTTCCCACAACCCTAAACCTTAGCCTGCATGACAGACAGAAGGCCTCACAGCTGTGGCAAGACCACCAACAAAAATCGGGGGTGATTTCCCAAAATGCGTGTGGCTCAAAATTAAACAGGAGGAGCAAACCGCAGGTTTTGGTCCATGTTTCCACTTACCAGGGTTGATTTTGGTGCCGGTTTTTTGAGCCACAGCCAAATGCCCACAACCTTAACCTGCGTGACAGAACGCCTCACAACAAAAATCGGGCGGATTTCCCAACATGCTGCTCAAAATTTACCTGGAGGGGTTACGCATGTTTTGGTCCATGTTTCCACTTACCGGTTTTTTGAGCCACAGCCAACTGGATGCGGATCCTTCTGAAAAGAAAACGGCGCGCCAAAGGTTGCTGGCCACCCTGCTGGACAGCGCGCCTGCGCCAGACCTGGAATGCTTCAACGAGGCATAAGTTGGGGCCGGACGTGGGCGAAAGGGAGTGGTGTCCCTTTGGTTTCCCTCTAAACTAAGCCCAAAAGGGATACCCTCAAAAAGTGTTCTTTTTAAACCCACCCCCCAAAATATCTAACCATCTTGGTGGAACCAGCACCTCCCGCGTTTTTTGTTTTTTTTGTTTTTACGCCAGGTGATGTTCGCGTCTCTGCAGCGCCCGGGGCCCCCGGCACCGTTTTGCAGCCGGCGAGTTGCCTCAGGATTGGGCATAACTTGGGGGTCTTGTCGTTTCTTTGTTTTCTTCCTCCTTTTTTTTCTCCAATTTTTTATCGGGGGATTTGGAGGTCTTTTTTTCCATTCCGGGGTACCTGGGTACTCCTCTTCTTTGTCGCGGTTTATCAAAACGGGACACCAAAAGGAACAACCGCAACTTCTGGGGCGTGATTCCTGAGAAAAAAAATTGGACGCCCGCGCCCCAACCGGTTGGTTTCCCTCACCTTCCTTCCGGTGGACCGAGACTCCGACGGTCCACTTCCGTTGACTGGAGCCGGGTCACAAGTCACTTTCTACCAGGAAGAAGTGGGCTTTAGACTTTCTCCAAGCCAAGTAGACTTTAGACTGTAGTTGATGTACAAACATTGTCTTCTTTGCCTGCTCAATAACCCGAAGCAATGTGGCCGTTTGGGGTAACCCCGAGTTTGATTGGTGGGATTGTTTCTGTATTTTCTCGTCGCCTTGGAAGTGTCGCAGCTTGGAAGTGTGGCAGCCGACTGGCAGAGGGCGAAAGACTTTGCTTTGCAGGAGTCAGCTAGGGTCTTGCCCGTGGGTTTGGGGTTCAACAGGGGACCCCCCCAAAATGGGTCTCTTTGGAGTGGGCGATCACAGACGATTGTAATGTTGAGGGGTTCCCTTCCTGTGCACAGGGTAACACCCCCATAGTATTTGAGCAGGGGGTTGTTAATCTGGGGTTCCCATCATCCTAGCAACTCCAAAAGGGTATATACCAACTCGGAAAGGGAACACCAACATGGATGGTGTAAGGAGGGTTCCGAATGGGCATGCGGCAGACGAGGAGTTTGGTCTTTCCCTTTGAACTTCCATGGTTGCCTCCTGTAAGGACGCACCATGGGTTCCGTTCGTATGTGTCTCCAAAATGGTTCGGTTTTCTTCGCCATCCGCAGAATTCCCAAGTTCGGCTGGGTGAGCAAGCGACCCGCAAAAATCTGGGTGCGAGAGTGACCCACCTCCCAGTTTTCCCAACAAATTGGCCCACATGTTCCCCCCATTTCCCCCAAAAGTCGGGGAGGCTCGGGCTCGGATCCGTTGGAGGCTCTTGGGAGTCCTGCCTGGGCCTTTTGGAGGCCTGGCTTATGTTGGAGTGGGGCGGGGAGAGTGGATCTCTGGTTTTTCCCCGGCTCGCTGAAAGCAAAAAGGGGTTCCAACTTCTAAAGAGGGGAACGTGATGTGCGAGATTGATGGTGTAGGTGCTGATTGGGGTGCAGTTTGGGGAGCTAGGTGTAGGTGATTGGGGTGCTGTTTGAGGTGCTGATGGCAGTGCGGGCGCATCTTTTCAAGATTGACGGTGGGGTGCTAGGGGGCATGCAGTTTGGGGTGCTTGTGCAGGTGCTGTTTTGGGGGGTGACGTTGCTCGCGCTTTTTTGCATTTTGCAGGTAGGACGCAGGGGGGAATGCAGTTTGGGGTGCTGGTCCTGATGGTGCTGTGGGACGCAGTTTGTGGGGATTTGAGGTGCTGGTGACGGTGCGGGCGTATCTTTGCGATATTGACGCTCGGGTGCTGTCGGGCATGCAGGTGACGGTGCAGGCGCATGTTTGCATTGCAAGGGGGCATGCAGCTTAGGTGGTGGGTTGGGATTCTGTTTGGGGTGCTGGTTGATTTTCGCAAGATTGACGGCTGGGTGTCTTGGGGGGTGCTGTTTGGGGTGCTCTTCAGAGTGATGGTGCGGACGCATTTTTGCTCGATTGACGGCCGGGTTTTGCTTGGGGCGTTCTTCGGGGTTTGGAGGTGCTGTTGTGCAAGCACTGCTATTTGGGGTCTATGCTGGTGTATTTTTTTGTGAAGCAACGTTTGAAAGCATGAAAGATGCTTTTCTCTTTTTAAAGATGGTTCTGATTTGGGGGGCGGGGGTTGGGGTTGGGGTCTGGAAGGAGGGGGTGGGACAACTGCAAGATGTGTTTTTGGGCAGCGCGGAAGAGTTTTTCCATGCATTGCGCCGCCCCTGCAAAGCAACCGACAAAAAGCACCTAAGAAGGGGAGATACAAGAGCCCGTTCAAAAGAAGGCTTTGGGTTTCCAAAGGCAGATGGGTGTTTTTGGAGCTCTGTTGCACTCTAAGAGATGCCACGCGCCGGATTTCAGTCATGGGAATCCCACTGTGGCTGTATCACTGGAAGGAAGATGCTCAGATGCCAGTTAGTTTGCCTGAGACTCGGACAATGTGGGGGAGGATTGTCATCCAGTCGAAGATGGTGGGATTTCTAGTGAGTTGTGTGAAAGAGAAAGAGAAAGAGAAAGAGAAAGAGCTACATGTGTCACGAAACAAGTACTGTATTCCAATGTGGATGCTCTAGCCAAGAAAACCAGCAGGCGGCAAACAGCACTTGTGCGCTCTTCTTTTGCATTGAATGCTCATTGTCATCTTGTCAGCGATGTGGGTTGTGTCTTTGTGATATTTGGTACCCATTGTGGGGTTGGCTTGAAGGGAAACCAGAAGGAAAACAACCGCAGTTTTGAGGTACCCCATTTTGACGCGCACACACACACATACATATCCGGGATGCGTTGCTTGTGGTGCAGGTGATGTGGAGGAGGAGGCCGACACCCGGTTTGCTCATTGCGATTGCTTGTGGCGCTTTCGCTGGCGACTTCATGACTTGGAAGACTGATCGACCTGTTGCAATGACCAGGATAGGAGAAGCACAATCCCAATTCAAGTGTTGGCCATGTTGCATTCTGGACTTGCATTCTGGCTAAGTCAAGATCAGAGGGTCGTTGCCTATTCTTGATGAAAGCGATACAGTCCTGGAAAGGCTCATGTGTCGAAATGTGGGCGGAGGAGGTGGCTCCCAGAGATGCCGGCTGCAGAATTTGCACCCTTTGTAAGGTCATCCTGTGAGGAACCATGAGTGTGTTTTCAATTGAGGGAACCCAACATGTGGTTTAGAATGTTTAGAACCCTTTTCAAACCTCCCAGGAACCACCCAAACTACCCTTGAACACCTTTGACCACCTTTACTCTCCCTTTACCGTTTGGCTGTGGCTCAAAAAGCCGAATTCCAAAATGGGTTGCCCTGGAAAGTGGAAGCATGGACCAAAACCTGCGGTTTGCTCCTCCGATCGTTTAATTTTGAGCCACACCCATTTTGGGAAATCACCCCCCGATTGTTGGTCGTCTTGCCACAGCTGTGAGGCCTTCTGTCTGTCATGCAGGCTAAGGTTTAGGGTTGTGGGAAAACCCAAAACTCAGCGCTCGATAGCCACCCAACAAAAGCTACCCAGCCGCGAAAAAGCGCCAGGTGGGCGCCAGACCTGCGCTTCTACGGCTCCGCCGCGCGGGCCTGCGTGGAGCTCAGCGAGCGGATGTGGGCAGGGGGGGGTTGGACCCTTTGGCAGGGAAGATGGGCTTCAACTCGGGGGTTCCTCAGCTTTTGGGGGGAATGCCCTGAAATGGTCAAAGATGTTTGGTCAAGATCTTGGTAAGGGCTGCGGTTGTCAGGCAGACCTCTTGTACACAAAGGGTTCTCTGGAGAGTTTGTGAGTGGAGAAGGTTCCGGATTAACTTTTTGAGTGTCCCGGGAATACTGGGGGAGTGCCCTGAAACGGTCAAAGAGTTTTGGCAGGGTGCCGCTTTGTTTGCCAGGGAAAGTTCCACTTTTGGTTTAAGGCTGCCCTGGTGTCAAAAAGTGGAACTCGGGTGGAGGGACTTCCTTGCGAGAAAGGTGGCGTGATGCCCGATCGAGTTCCGTTTCGGGCTAATTATCTCACAGGAAGTGAGCGGTCGGTGGGAGGCTAGGTGGTCTCAAAGATGTCGCGGTTTAGAAGTGAGATTACGAAGAAGGCGAGATGCTTGAAGGCACAAGGAGCTTACCACCCCGGCATCCTTGCCCGGAATTCCTTGCTGGTTTCACAGTCAGATTTTGTGAAAGGGAAGCGGGGAGCGACGGATTTGCGCGAGGGTTCCATTCTTGAATTGCTGCTTTTTAGGTCAACAGCAGTTCAGTTTGCGCCAAACAGATGGTTGTGTGGGCGTCGCCGTGGTTGGCAGTGGAACATTTTTAAGATATTTTCGCCGGCATGATCCCAACATGGGCTCGACGTTGACCTGCAAAGCTTCTCACTGCTTGCTCTAAATTTAGCGATAGGCCAGGGCCGTTTCGGGAGCTGTGGAAGCATGAAACAAAGAGCGCCTTTCTGTGATGTCGTCACACATCGCTATCATCACAACATCCTTTGTTGGCCTTGGCCCTGTTTACGCAAGTGAACCATCCATCATCGACACCCCCAACAAGCAGACAGATCATGGCTGTTGAATTGCAACCCTTGTCCTTGACCTTATCCAGGAAAGCTCCCTCCGTGCCGTCCGTTACGCTGGGGACCGGATGGATCGCCGGCGCCGGATCGATCCAAGCGCGGCGGCGCAGCCATTTTGGCTTCGGGGGGCGCGGCGCTTCTTACGCCGCGGTCCTCGCTAAGTTCCAGCGCCCCCTCACCGCACATGGCCCGCGGCCTCGGACAGAAGGATGTGCAACGCGCTAGGTCCACTGGGGGTGTACTGGGCACCCCGGATTCATTAAAAACATTGGTTGATGAATAGGGGGGTGTCCCTTTTAGTGGGGATTCAGGCCACTTTTGAAGGGGACAACATGTTCATAGGACAGGTTTTAATTAGATCCGGGCTGACATTAGGAGGCTGGTTGAAGACTTCGGGAGGTTTCCCCTTGAAGGGATGTGGTGGGTTCTATGTTGGAGCCAAGCCGAGTACTTGCCTACATCCCTATGCCAAAGAACGAGACTGACCATTCCAGGTTCTATGGTTTGTTCTTTGTTCTTCAAACAACCACAAAACAAGTACCCTCAAGCAAAGACACGCCCATGTCTTTTGGGACATATGAATCGACACCTATTTTGCTATTCGATCTCCCTCGAATTCACGGGTGACTATCAGGCCCTTTGGCATTTCTGGGTATGTGTCGAACACTTTGGACTTGCAGAACATTCGCCGAAGAATTTGTCGCGCCAGTCCCCTTTTCGTCGGCAATGATTGAAACCTGTTGCCCGGGGCATCTGAGTGTGAAAACCCCGCATCCCTTTCAACACATCTTAATGTCGGTGTCGGTTGCACTGGACCCTGGACGGGGAGAAAAAAGGTTTTTCGTTGAAACAGCTTCTTGCAGGGGCGAACCAAGTTCCAGGGCACCCCCTTTGGGGGTTGGTGAAGCCGCGGAATCATTCCGCACATACCGAGGTGTTTCCATATCAGCTCGCAGGCTGGGAAGCGGCTGGTGTTTGGGGCCATCCAGGATCCCGTAGAGTGTCAAGCTTCCACTGGGATGCGAGGGAGGGAGGCTATCCAGGATTTACCTGGTTGCCCTTGGTGACCTAGGACTCACCCTGGGCGACCCTGGGCCGTTGGCTCGGTGGCCTGTTTTAGATGGTGGCTTTTTCAATTTGCAGGGTTCGTGAAGGGAACCAGGAGCCGTTTTGGGTGTTCGATCTCATTTGGAGAAGGCAACACAACCAACTTGGCCGGGATTGAGAGAAGTACAAAGCGTGCCCAGCTTTGACACACACACACACACACACACACACACACACACACACACACACACACACACACACACACACACACACACACACACACACACACACACACACACACACACACACACACACACACACACACACACACACACACACACACACACACACACACACACACACACACACACACACACACACACACACACACACACACACACACACACACACACACACACACACACACACACACACACACACACACACACACACACACACACACACACACACACACACACACACACACACACACACACACACACACACACACACACACACACACACACACACACACACACACACACACACACACACACACACACACACACACACACACACACACACACACACACACACACACACACACACACACACACACACACACACACACACACACACACACACACACACACACACACACACACACACACACACACACACACACACACACACACACACACACACACACACACACACACACACACACACACACACACACACACACACACACACACACACACAACACACACACACACACACACACACACACACACACACACACACACACACACACACACACACACACACACACACACACACACACACACACACACACACACACACACACACACACACACACACACACACACACACACACACACACACACACACACACACACACACACACACACACACACACACACACACACACACACACACACACACACACACACACACACACACACACACACACACACACACACACACACACACACACACACACACACACACACACACACACACACACACACACACACACACACACACACACACACACACACACACACACACACACACACACACACACACACACACACACACACACACACACACACACACACACACACACACACACACACACACACACACACACACACACACACACACACACACACACACACACACACACACACACACACACACACACACACACACACACACACACACACACACACACACACACACACACACACACACACACACACACACACACACACACACACACACACACACACACACACACACACACACACACACACACACACACACACACACACACACACACACACACACACACACACACACACACACACACACACACACACACACACACACACACACACACACACACACACACACACACACACACACACACACACACACACACACACACACACACACACACACACACACACACACACACACACACACACACACACACACACACACACACACACACACACCGACCTGGATTCAAGATGTGGACGGCTCTACTTCATGGCAGACGCTGCCTGCCAAAGGACTCCTCAATCCGCTGTCCCGAGCTGAATCAGTTTCCCCGTTTGAGACACTGGGGCGGCGGTTTTCCATAGGCAAGCCTCCCCTGCGGAAAACCAGCCCTAGGAAAAAAAGCCCAGCCCTAGTAAAAAAGCAAAACGCGCACTGTTACCAATGGCGGGCCTTTTGGAGTCTTTGCACCGGGTCTTGGTTGTGGACCTAGACGTGGCCCTCACTGTCCAAAGGGGGGGGTTCCTCGCTATCCAGGCAGATCTTCTGGGCGGAGCCGCTTGGAAGGGGTTTCGGGCGCAGCTTTCGAACAACCTCGGACCACAAAAGCCCACCAAAATGTGGTCCGGGGGGCCTCATAGATCACACACACATGGGTTTCCGAGGACCTTTTTTTTTTTTTTGTTTTAAAGAAAAAAACAAAAAACAAGCCATTTTTATGTGCATGTTTTGTTCGGGGCGGGGAGGGGGGTCTGATTGCTGGCCCAGGGCCGGCATGCCCGCCTTTGAAACTTTGGGATGCAGACTCCGGGGCACCTTAGCACTTGATCTTTCGTTTCAGGAGGCAAGATGTGGTGGGGAGGATCTTGACGTACCTGGTCGTCCTGGTTGTTCACTTGTTTTTTTTTGGTTGAACTGAGTGATAGGCAAATGCCCAGCTGGTATTATCCGAGATGCGCAGCAAATGCCAGCTGTTGCTTGTAGTACACAATCAGGAGACTACAGGCAAAGATGTGGGTCCTGTTCCCTCACAATGGGTGAAGTTTGCAGGCCCACAGCTGAGAAGGAGAATCAAGGCCCATACAATGTGTGTGTGTGTGCCGAGTTCCAGATCTACCCTGGAACCACTTCATGAGTCATAGCAGGGGGACGTGGCGTGCAATCAGGAACCACGTCCAACAAAGCTACCTGATTGCACGGGAAGCAGAGCCTGATCAGCTCTGTGTACCTGCGAGTGATACAATGTCCTTTTGGCCCGCTGTTTCTCTCGCTGTAATTGCTTCTTGTTGATTCTGTAGCGGTTTCGATTCTACCGGAAAGCCAAGTGTCTTGCAAGCCGAAAGTTGTACCTGCTTCGGGAGTTCAAGTGTGTGTCGGCTCCAAGCAAATCCCTGGAACTTGAGACTTGAGCTTCGGTTAGATTGTGCGGGAACTCACCCAATTCCCGCAACGACAAGGGCGACCGCGTATCGAGGTGGCATTTTGATGTAACAGGCCCACGCACTGCCCTTTGCGTGGCGATGGAATTGACTGCCATGTTGACACGCTCTTGCGCAGAATGTAAGGAAGAACATTAGTTTTGTTGGTTAAGCGCGTGCGTGGAGCCTGGTTTAAAGCGAGGCTGCTTGACCGTCCTAAGGTCCATTGCCCCTACTTGTGATCTGCTTGTGCCGTGGCTGCAGATGGTGCTCGGAGGGAGGCAAGGCTTTGCCAATCCGACAACTAGATTGTTTTCACCATGGTTCCTGGGGTCATGATTTTGTCCGTTTCTTGGGGATTATGAAAGTCAGAAACTGGGCGGTTTCCCTTTAAGCTACCGCTAAACAAGATCGACTTTGATAGCGGTGAAATAATGGAGCCAGTGGTATTGCGGTTGGAACTGGGCATGGAATGACACAAAGGGGAATTTGGATGCTACCAGTCAGCACTATTTGGTGTCCAGAGAAAATGCTTTGGTCTGAGGCATTTTCTTATTGGCCAGGCGCGGGGACACCGGCGGTACGTGTGTTTGATATCGATCCGGCAGATACAGAGAGACGGTTCTTTGCTCTCCGACCAGGATTTACTCCCAACATATGGGTTGTCTTTCTTGAAGGGTACCTTTTTTTGGGGGGCGGTTTCAAAAGGAAGCCTTTTCGGGAACTCCCAACATACACATGGGTTGTCTTTCTTGACGTGTTTTTTTTTTCTTTTTCGGGGGGCGGTTTCAAAAGGACGCCTTTTTCGGAGAAGAACTCCGCGAAAACCGTTTTTTTTGTGGGTCAGAGAAGGACTTTTCCAGACCTGGGATTCCTTTCGAGGAGTCCCTTGGAAAGGGATTTGAATGGACGTGGCAGTGTTCCAAACGCTGTAAAATTGACCGGCAGGATGGGCGTCGGAGAGTGGTCTAGGGGAGGTCGGATGTCTTTGCGGGCAGTTCGGAACTCCAGTATTGCCAGGAGAACTGCCCAGATGAAGAGGGACTCCGACCAAAACGCCACCATTTGCAGCGGCAAAAGGGCCGTAAGAATCTCACGGCAGGCTGTGGAAGTGAAGAGCACGGCTGGCATCGAGGCCACTTCGGGGGTGGTGAGGACGGGATGGACCCTCGAAACATTCAAACGGGGCGACCCACGGCAGTTTGATCAGCTGGCAAGCACAAGGTTTGCCTCGCTTGGGTGCTTGCCTGCGGCTCCTTTCTGTGTCAACCAGGGTTCGTCCTCTTTGCGCTCCATCATTTGGTGGAAGATTCGCTGGCCCCTCTGAAAGTGTATAGTTGGGTGAAAGTAGATGGCACAAATCCCTCGTGTTGATTTAGTCATCCCCTTTACGTACCCCAACAAGGGGAGCTGTGCCATCTACTTTCACTCTGGTGTAGGTATTTCGTTTCGTTCTGGAAGTGCTAGACACCCAGATTTCTTTTTGTTGGGATCTATCGTGAGAAAACCCACACTTCAGCACTCCCCAGCAAAATGCCAAGACAGCCGCACGAATCAGTTTCCACGTCTCGGATGCTTCCCCCTTTCCTGGGCTTTGGGTTTCGGAAAGCTAACCCCGGAGCTTGGGGGGTGTCCCCAAAAATGTGAGGATTCATTTTTTTTTGGAGAGGGAACATCCGCTATGAAAAGGTCATCATCAGTGGGCAGCTGTTTGGCAGCAATTGAGTGGGACAATCGAGGGGTGCGACTCCTTGGCGAGGGGGGATTCGGATGAATGATGCCTCCCATTGCCCAGGTTTTCTCTTTTTCGGGCTTTGTTCTTCTAACAAACATGCCCCATAGGAGGGTGGGGAGGGTGGAATCTACAGATGGTCAAACTATGGAATCATTGGGAGGACATTGCGACACCCATCGCAGGTCGCAGGAGTTTGACCATGGCACCCCATGGTTTACCTTCGCGCCAAGCTTGCGAGTCGAGAAGGCCGAACTCGGCTTCTTAAAAGGCAAAACCCCAATCACCCACCATCTTCACCCCACATTCTAAATACGTGTGTTTTCCCTGAACCTGCCATTTTCACTTTCTCCCCCCTTTGCTTTTTGCCAAGAAAGAACGGGGCCAACGGCAACGGGCAGGTTTCCAACGGACTGGAATTTCACGCTGGTCACCTTGCCGATCACCGAACCGCGTCTTGGCTGCGGGTTGGGTGGGCGGTTGGCTCACGCAGGGCCGTTCGTGTGAGGGAGAAGATTCTGGCCATTGCAAGTCAAATATGAGCAAAGGGTCAAACCCCACAACCATCTATGATGACAAAGGGGTACCCACACCCCAGAACACCATAACAACAGAACGGGGTTCCTGACCAAACTCATGTGGCAGTTGGGCACACAATTCTGACCGTGGCTCATATCAGTGATATCCTTGCTTGGTTTGTGGCCCTTCTATTTGTGGCTTCTCTGCCTGCCTGGGAGCCTCAAGGAGAAACTGGCTTGAGCCGCAGCTGGGGTGTTTCTTTTCTTCCTGGGCTCCAGGACTGAAGCAGGGGCAAATCTCATGTTACATGCCAGGGTTAGCACGCATACCCAGTGGCCCAGTGGCAACGCGGAATCAAGTCCCGGGATGGCGTAGGAGAAGCTTGGGTCTGGGCCTTGAATGTTCCCGTGGGCTTCAAGTCCGGCCTGTGGGAAGCAGTAGGCTGGTACCCTCGCGAAGCGAGCCATGCGACTGGGGCATGCTATTTGGTTCACCTTTCTTGTTCGGAGCTTCTTCTCTGAAGCGGAGGTTCTGGGGTGAGAAGGAGACCCTTCCTTCTCAATGGAAAGTTCTACACTTCCTTCGGCCCGAACCCGGCGAGACCAAGGTTTGTCTTTGCTTTGGTTTGCTCAGGCGCTGACCCATCAACTGCGACGGGGCAGCAGCCGGCACGTAGAGCAACGCGCCTCCGTTGAGGCTCGGGGTCCCAACAAATACTGGCTTCGGCATGGCAAAGAGGCATCTCCCCATGCCAAAGTGTTGGTTTGAGTCTTTTTTCTTCTTTGGACTCAGAGTGAATGTTATTTTTTCCCAGGGTCTTTTCAGCACAATCCTCCTCCTCCTGTTTCTTCTTCTACGTCTTCTTTGCCTTCTCATTCTTCTTTTTCTTCTTGTCTTCCTCCTCTTCCTGGTTTTTCTTCTTGTCTTCCTCCTTCGTCTTCGTCTTCGTCTTCTTCTTTTTGCTCTTCCTAGTTTTGATTCTCTTCTTTCTTGCAACAACTGCCACCACTGTGACGGCTTAGGGCTAAGACTTCTGCAAAACCTGACAGGACCTGTTTTCCTTCAACATAGCCCCAGAAGGGTGCCCTTAAACGCACATCCATGTAGGGCCGACCTGTCACTTTTTTCATGATCCAAAAGACGAAGCAGCCTTGAGGGCACTGAGAAGTTGACTTTCCTCTTGGGGGTTACCTTGTATCAGTTGCCATGTTCATGAGAGGGAGGGTACATACTGTGGATGGACGAAATCCTGCACCACTTTGAAACCACTGGAAACCATTGTGCATTGGCATTTATAGGGCAATCACCAATGCAGGGTGTCTTAGGTGGTGCAGGATTTCATCCATCCACAGTATGTAGTTAACCATGCCCTGGAAGACCCTTTTTCCTTAGGGACCGGGTTCCGAACGTCCGGTTCCATGTTCTAAATTGGTGGGAGGGCATACTCGTGTATATTTCTATACATATATATATATATATAATTATATATATATAATTATATGTATAATTATGTATATAATTATATATATATATATATATCTACACACACACACACATGTGTCTACATATCTTCTAGTCCCCAGGCCACCAACCCCCCCCTCAGGGGTAGGGTCCCCCCCTAAAAAGTTAAAAGCCTAGACACCAAAAACTAAAGAACCATATATATATATAAATATGTTATCAAGCTTGATATATATATATATATACATATATGTACATATATGTACATATATATATATATACACATAAAAAAAGCTCCGCAACGATGTTGGGATCCCTTCAGGTGGATGCCCATGGCGGCGCCCGTGGATTTCAGCTCACCACGCCCCTTGAGGCCCGAAATGGGCCGGGCTCGGCGCCCGTTGAAGATGGTCGTTGCGTGGGTCCGGGTCGGAGCTTTCCCAGCCCCTCCCCCCTAATAAACAAATCCATGAGGTAGAGAATCCCGCTGGTTTGTAAGAGTTCCGGAAGAGAACGAATTGCTCACCCCACAGCTAGAGTTTGAACGGTTTTGTCTGCCAGCGAAATCTCGTCTTTGGTTTTGTAAGAGTTGCCGATGCAAAATTGGCCAACCCCAAAGTGGGTTCCAATTCAGTTTCAACTGGAACTCAAAAAGACACCCATGTTGGGTGTCCCTCAAAATTCTAGCTGTACTTCCCAATCATGCTTCCTAGCAATCCTTATTTTGACAGCACGTTTAGCAGCAGTAACCTCAAGTAGGGATTTCTTTTTTCGACTGACATTACCCATGAAGAATCCTTTCATCGGGGTTCTCCTATATTTTGGCTTGATCAATTAGTAGAATTCACTCAGCAGAATGAAGTTGCATGATGGTGCGGGCAGTCCAGGCCATGGTCATTTACTTGAACCTTGGCATTCACTCTGGGAGTTCGTCCATACAGGGCCCAAAAACTGAGGTGCTGGGTATTCGTGCCGAACCATTTGCTTCAAACGATTCAAATGCTTGGCAGATGTCGGCGTGTGTTAAAAAGACCTGGAGGGACTGACCTGGAGGGACTGTAACAGCAAATCCGGCAAACGTAGATAAAGTCATGAAACCGTGCCCTTCTTTTGCATGTGCTTTTTCTTGGCTGTATCTCTCGAAATTGAATACACTTTGCAAGGTGTGTCCATCCCAGATTCCAAACCTGTGGGTGTTGAGGCCGCTTAGCAGGTTGAAATCGTGGTCACAAGGGGACTCGCCGCAGTTGTTATCCTCAGTTACGACTTTGGTTACGACCTACATGACGTTGGGTTTGTCTCAATTCGGGGAAGCCCCAAAATTGGGGGTGTTTTGCTTTTGATTTTCCTTCAAACCATCCAACAAGGACGCCCTCAAGCGAACGACCCACCCGGTTGGGAGGACATGTCTTCGGAGTACACCGGCATCATCGGGGTGGGCACAAGCCCCGAAGGCGGCGCCCAATTCGAGGCATGGGAGCGTTTGCTTGAGTCGGTCTGCTGTTTTTTTGTTTTTTAGGTGGGGTTCAAGGGAAGGAGGGTCGGTATGCTGGTTTTTGGGGTGGGGTTCAAGGGAACCAACGAGGAACATTGTCCTTTTTTTGGGGGTGGGGTCCAAGTGAACCAAGGGAAAGCTGGCCTTTTTTTTTTGTGGGGGAACGTTCCCCTATTTTGACGATGCCTAAATGGAGCAATGGAGGGAGTTCGCCTTTTTGGGAGCGTTTATGGGTCCATCTTGGCTTTCGGGAAAAGACTGCAAACCAGCCTCTTTTAAGAAAGTTCGTGCCAGAAGGCGGTGTGCCATTCCGGCCATTTTTTTTGTTTTAGATTATCGGGTGTTTTTTTTGCTCAAAAAGGGTCAGGAAACAAACAAAAAACCCAGAAAATCGAAAAAATACCCGATGTGTGGGGGATCGTTGTATGGAGCTTCCTGGTGGCACGCCCATGGGTTATTCCACCTGCAGATGTTTTTAGGGGAACCGCAAAACCGGTGGTTTTTTGGAGGACCCCCAAAAGGAGATTCCCTTTGCTCCATAAATCCAGAAACAAAATGCAAGCAACACACCAATTCGAATGCTTGCTCAGGCTTCGTTCAGAGTGCGCCTCGTCTGATTGGGTTTCGGATGTCCAACATGGATTTGGGCTTTGCGGTTTCCCTTTTTCGCTTGAAACCAAGGAGACACGGGGCCCCCCTTGGCGCAGCGCGCGCAAGAGCCTTGCGCCATGTGACTCACCGAAGCCTCGAGATCTGGTTGCCGGCGAGGCGCGGGTGGTCTTTGACACCGGCAGCACCAATCTCTGGGTGGCCTCGATCCTGTGCAAGGCATCCGAAATCGACATGGACACGGAAACGGGGCGGGGGGGGGGGGGAAAGAACAAATGGGAATCCACTCCCATGGCAAAAGAAGAGACGAGGTTTTGGTTTACTGTTCACCGGCCAAGATCCAATGTAAGGTGACGCGTGGCTCGGTTGTTCTCATGCTGATATTTTCCTCAGGTTCGGTTCCCTTTGCGTGTGGGTTGCAAGGGAAACCAAAGGGAGCTCTGGGTCCGAGACCGATTTTGACTCGCAGAGCCTCCGTTTGTGAGGCTTCTCGAGCCCCTCAGCCTTCAGCCAAGCAGGACGCATCACGATGTTGGAGTTGTTTTCTGTTTATTCTCGGTATGCCCTCGTTGGTATGGCTTTAAAGGGAAACCAAGGGGAAAAGCCACTCATCTTTGTTTTTTGGTTGGATGCTCATGCAAGCCCACATAGATTAGTGTAGCGAAAGGAGGATAATCCACCAACAAATGCGTGCCAATTCTCCGGTTTTTGTCCCTCCCCCATGCAACTCCCGTGTTTGTTGGGGGCGTCCATTTAACGTTGACCCCATATTAATCAACCTCAGTTTATTAATAGGGGGCTGCTTCTCCCGTGGAATGTGGTTGGAATCGGACCACTTTTCGGCCAAACACCACTAACTTTGTTGTTGACCCCCCCCACTTCTAATGTTGCAAGGTTAGCCCCATACAAGTTATCATGAATAGGTTCCCCCCCCCCGTTCTTCCCCACTTCTGGTTGATGAACAGGGCGTCAACATCTGCCGTTTCCGCTCCCTCCCCCAAGTCGTCCCCCAAGTCTGGTTGATTAAAAGGTTCCCACCCGCCCCCCCCCCAACAAAGAAAGACCAGAAAATCCCTGACACTCCCTGGGCCTCCCGTTTTGGGTTGGGGGCTGGACCGTTGGCATCGGCAAGCGCAGGCCTCGCCCTGCGACCGGGACGGGGCCGAGAAGTTCTACGACCCGGCGCCTTCGGCGGAAGTGGGACGTGGAGAAGCCGGCCGAGCTCGGGTTTCGGGGGGGGGGGGGTGGGTCTCACACAAAACAGAGGGGGGGGGGGTTGCTCCTCCTGGTTTCCCCACAAAAGAAGGGGGTACCTCCAAAAAATAGGACGTTTCCCACAAAAAGGGGGGTAACTCCCAAACAAATTCGGAGGAGCCGCCCAACTGGACTTCGCAAAAGCCCAGCTTCTGGTTGAAATCTTTTCGGGAGAACAACATGGAACGACGAATCAATGGGAAAAACAAACATGGGAAGTGGAGAATAGTGGGCGGTCTGAACTGCTTGTTTGTGAAGTGATGTTGAACCCAGATTAAGCAGAACCCCGGAAGGGGACTCCCCATCGTCATGGCCCTGGGTCATTCACGTCGAGAGGATGCAACCTACGGAGTTGTGCACGGCCCTGGAAAGGGAAACGGGACTGTCCTTTTCTTTGGGGGAATCCGAATTTTGGGTGGGTTTTAAAGGGCGACCAAAAGGACATCAACTGTCTTCGGAAGCCCACTGTTTCAAGACAAACCCAAATGATCTGAAAGTTGCCTGCTCTTTAACTTCTCAGTGACTGATGGGAACCCCGCAAAATTAGAACCCGTCCATTCATAGGGCGGTGGGGGGGGGGGTGGTTCTCGAGGGTGAGTCAAGGGGTCTTCTGCACCAATTGTCGCGACCTGCGCCCAACATGGAAGTAATCAGGCTCCTTTAAGGCTACTTCCCTCTTGGCCAGCCAGGGGCCGTTTGCACTTCCATGATTGTAGGTTTCGGCTGGTGAGCTGAGAGTAAACCGTGCAGTTACGTGCGGATAGTGCGTTTGCCTCTGTGGCCAATCCACTCGACCGGATGGGTTACAGGCTGCAAGGTGGAGCAAAAACAGGTTGCACGACATCCAAGCTTTTGCTGACAAATCATCCACGGGTCAAACTAAGAAGCCCACAACAGCCCACGAAAAGCGAAAAACACAAATGGAAACCCCCTACCCCCAATGGGAAGTGGGTTAGGGCCAAACCAGAGAAGCACCCCCCCGCATGGCAAGTCTTCGGGTCTTCGGGGAACGACCCTTCTCCTCCCACGAAAAACCTCTCTCGGCCTAGGAGAAGTCCTCGACGTCCGAGGCCTTCATAGAAGATGGCATGGAGCGGCGGCGGGTTGAGGGCGGTTGAGGGCGCTTGGGAGGTGTCTTGGTTTGGGGCCAGACAATGCTTCCCCCGTTCGTTCTGGTTGGGGTTTCCTCCGGTTTTGGTGGCTTCCCCCTTGGCTTTTGATGGCCCATCGATGTTTGTGAGCCGAGCCACGGCCAGAAGCAGAGACCAAAACGCAAATCGGTGGGCGTTTCCGGGAAAGATAAGGTTCGCCGTCAGGTTGGTGCTTGGGAGCCCGGTTTGGATTTGGATTTGAACCCCTGGTTCTTGTAGACGGTTGCACAGGAAGCCTCCAATCCAAACCACCAAACCACCAATCAACCAATCCACCAAACCACCAAACCACCTGTCCAAACCCATTGGGGGACAGCTGCTTCTCAGCAGGGGTTCTCTGATCAGCCGCCAGGAGAGCGACTCCGACATCGACATCATCTTCGGCACCGGGGAGCTGAAAGGGCCGCTGCACGTGGACACCTACCGCGTAGGATCGAGGGAATTTGTTTCGGCTGAGGGGTGTCGACGCGGTTTGTCGCGGATAGAAAAACCTGGGCCAAGAAAAATTCGACTGGGGGAAGGGGGTAGGAAAATGGACTGGTGGTTTGAGGTTGCGAAGAGGTGGGTCCCGAAGAATATGAGATCTGATGGCGTCGTTTCTGCCGTTTTTCAAGCGACAAAGCAGTGGGCATCGACCGCTTTGGTCTCACAGCCAAAGGGGCCGGATTTTTCCCCAACGGCGCGGATTTCGATTGGCCGCCAAGAGGTTGAAGCCAAAGTCGAGCCTTTTCCGGGGGTCCGGAAGAAGCCAAAACTTTTGGGGGATCAGACCATGGGGATCAGACCAGGGGGGAACATCCTCCGGTCAAAAGTAGTGCCGGTAGGCCCGGACTTGAAGGGAGCCATCGGGTGCCATCATGAGGCAAACCCGAGGTTGAGGCGGAGACATGACGAACACCGCCAGCAGCTATTTGGGAATGTATCGGCTTTGCTTTTGGATGCGACTCCAAAAGGCAATCAGAGCGACTCCAACCAACAGAAATCCAGCGCAATCCCATTGCCAAGCGCAAATGCGGCAAGAAGACTGACAGTTGCATCACCAGGAATACATGCTCTCACAACAGAGCACACAACTCGCTGGAACAAGTTTATTCTGGAGCTGCTGTTGAGAAATGCTTCAATCAACGAGAGTTGGCATTTTCGAAGACATCAGCTAGGAAGCAGGCCAGCCGTCAGAGCTTGTTTAGAAGACCGTTCGCATCCCAACAGTTGTGTAAGATGCCATGTGGGGTTGTGTCAAACCTGGGGAGCACCCCAAATGGTTGGTTTCCAAACCGGCCAGAACTTGGAGCAGAACATGTTATTCTTCCAGCCATTGGTTGACATCGGTGGCAAAATGCCGTGTGCTTGATGAGCTCACCCTGGAGTAAAACAAGCTCAAACCCCATGAAGATGTAGGTATTCATCACAGGTTGTTGAATTCTAGAAGTGGGTATGTGGACGAAATCCTGCACCATTTAAGAAACCATGGGAAACCATTGTTTATTGGTAGTTGCAGGGGAATCATCATTGCAGGGTTTCATAGATGGTGCGAGTTTTCGTCCATCCACATTAGGGGGACCCCGAAAAATGCTTGGTTTCCCTTCTGATGTTCCTGTAACACAGCCTGAAGAAGGGCAATACAAGTGGCCAAGTACTTACATGCCTTTTCCTCCCACAACCCTATTCCTCATCCGAGGAGCCCTTGCAGTACTATCCTTGCTCTCCAAATTTAAATGGAACCCAGAAAGCTATCTTGTGTTGGGTTTCATGTCAACTTGGGGAGTAAGAAGGGTACCTTTGAGGGATCCACAGATCCCCCGGCAGCCATTCGACGCGCGAGCGAACTGTGACGGATGTCGCCCAACTTGCGTTCTCTCAAAACACCCAAAACACATCAGTGTGCTGTTTGCTAGTTGAAAACTACTTGTATAAGTTTTATGAGGGCTTCGGCCCAACTTGTCACAGTTTCCATCAAAATGCTGGCCTTAGTGCTGCTGTCCTGGCGTGCTGCTGTGTTGAAGCCTCTTTTTGGGACACCCACACACACAAGATCTATTTGCAGGGAGATAAGAGGGGTAGGTTTTCTCGCTCTTAGCTTTTTAGCCTTTTAGTGTTTAGTGGTAGTTTCCATTTAAACCACTCAAAGTGAGTCACTTTTAGCGGGGGATCCGAAAACGGGCAGCCCAGAACAATCCACACCGACAAAAAGTTTTCGGCCTCGGGCGAGCGAGAGGCCCCATGGCCGTAGAGAAGCAGCCCTTCGCGATGATCCGGGAGATGACAGGCGAATGAAACGCTCGGACGTCGCGGACGTCGCCTGGGGCGAGGGCGATGTCCATTTGGGGGAAGAGATGTTGCGCTGTTTGAGTGGGTGTTTAACTAGGTCCCCCAGTAGTGCCCTTTTAGCTTTTTTTTGGGGAGGCCTCCCCTACTCAAATAGACTACAGAAAAAAGGGTACCCTTATTCTAACCTCTTTACTGGAGGACGTGGTTTGGTGTGTGGGTTTGTTGGAAGTTGGTGCCTTCTTGTCACGGTGGTTTGAAGGGAAAATCACTCAGAGTTGTGATTGCTTTCCCGTAGCTGCAAGTTGGGCTTGCCACGTCAATTGGCCCAAAGGTACGGGGCTGTTGGGGATACCACCTGGGCGAACTTTAGTTTCAAAACCTTTTTGCGGCGGGTTTTTAAAGTGAAGCCGAAGTCCATTTGGGTGGTTTCCCTGTTTTGGACATTTCCAAGTCGATGTTTGAGCAATGGACAAAGTTTAACTTAAAACTATGGTTCTTTAAGGGAGTCCAGGGCTTAACCGACCAGACCTAAGGAAAGCGTCCGGAAGTCGCCCCGAATTTGTGGGATTCCCTGGTTTCTCGACCAAGGGAACCTCCCTTGGTAGTTTTTGTTTCCACGGCCGGGTCCGTAGAACCAGAATCGACATCCAATGGGTTGAGATCCTGGGAATCGCTTTTGTCAGGTAGGCGTGTCAAATTTTTTTGGGGTACCCTTGTTGGATGGTTTTACAGGACCACTTTGGGGGTCTCCCTAGAAAAAGACGCACCCACTTCAACCATCCCATTGCCATGGTGGGCCCCCTTTTTGCCATGGTTGGGGGGGCTTTGGGGAAACGGCTCGGAGCCTCCTGGCGGAAAGTACTCATTTTGTATTTCTAGTTTCGACAAGCCCAAACCCAGGAGGATTGGTGTATTCGGCATACCACGCATGCGCGTGTTCTTTGCCGGCCTTGGCCATCCCTTGCCCATTTTGTTTTGGATGTCTTCAACATATGGATGGCTCGCCTTTTTGTAGGAATCGGATCCCCCCAAACATGGTGGTTACAATCAACTAAAATGGGGTACCCTCAAACAAAGACAGACCCATCTTTAGTGGGTTATAACAGACTTCAAGTGAGGTACTTTGAGCCTGACGCAAGTGAAGCTCATCTAACCCCTTCCTCCTCCCCCCCCCCCCCAAAGCCCCCAAAGTTTTTGGCGGGAGGTGGGCAAATGCCCTTGCAAGAGGACGGCGTGCTTGTTTTCTTTGCCATCTCTCCAAGACCAGTTGGTTGCACAAAGGGCAACCCCTTGCAAGGCCAGGGCTTGGTTGCGTTTTGTGCCCTGAATTTTGGGTTTCCCCCACTGGCTGTGGGTCAAAATTAGGTACCCAAAACGTAAGCCTGGTAAATGGAAACATGGACCAAAACCTGCGGTCCCCTGGTACTTTAATTTTGACCCATACCCATTTGCTGAAATGAATACATTTTGTCATTTTCCCGTGCTGGTTTTAAAGGGAGTTTGCAACTACTGGACTTTTGTTTTCTATCTTTGACCCACAGCCAACTGACTTCAGGGGACGTGTTCTCCTCCTTCCCCTTCGAGGGGATTCTGGGGCTGGCCTTCCCGTCGCTCTCCTTCGGCGGCATCGAGCCCTTCTTCGAGAGCCTCGGCGGACGTACGTTTTTTTTTTTTTTTTAATACCTAATTATTAATATATATATATATATGTATATATATATATATATGTAATATATATATATATATAAGGCTAAGACAAACCCTAAAACCCAAAATCCGAAACCCGAAACCCTAAACCCCAAACTTTTTTTTTCTTTTTTCTCCGGGCGTGTTGCTCACTCCCTGCGTTTTTGGGCCAGTTGCTCACAGATGGTGACCACGCCAAATATAGGGGAACGATGCTGAAGAAAGGGTAACAGCGCCAAGAACTCCCTGCGTGTTCCGAGCCTTATTCTTTGGGAAGATTGCCTTGGCAGATGATGTGGGAGTTGGGGGCAGGCTTTTTTGTTTGGCCGCAAGAGGCCTTAGGGCTTAGTTCAAGCAATGATTCTCTTTCTGGAAGTTTGGAACTCTGTGATGTTCTTAGTTGACCTTTGGTGGGGCTGTTTTGAGAGTGTGAACAAATCAGGCTCCCCGAGCCAGAGCACTTGACCGGGATTTGCCTCTTGAGACTCCAGCAATCAGCATGAGAAGGTTTCATTGGTACTTGTTTTCCGCCTGCCTGCCTGCCCCTTTGCCTGCCTGCCTGCCTGCCTGTGCCTGCCTGCCTGCCTGCCTGCCTGCCTGCCTGCCTGCCTGCCTGCCTGCCTGCCTGCCTGCCTGCCTGCCTGTCTGTCTGTCTGTCTGTCTGTCTGTCTGTCTGTCTGTCTGTCTGTCTGTCTGTCTGTCTGTCTGTTTGTCTGTCTGTAGTGTACATACCAAGAAAAACGGTACATGAATTAATCACTGCCCACACACACACACACACACGCGCGCACAGTGCAAACAAACTATCGATAAATTCCTGATCAGAAAGAAACAGTTCATGCATGTGCTATAAGGCGCACTCACACACACAAGCATATTTTTGGGGACTGCAAAGGGCGCTTGTCTGAGGCGAGTGATCAAAGTGCCTCGGCAGCCAATGGCTTGCTTTTGTCTCCAAGGGGGGCCACGCGGATCGACGATGGATGAACCCCTACTGTTGATGGACGAATTCCTGCACCACCCAAGAAACCCTGGAATGATGATCCCCGCCTGTAAATACCAAGAAACAATGGGTTCCCATGGTTTCTCAGGTGGTGCGAAATAGATTTCGTCCAGCCACAGTATGAATACAGGGACAAACCCATTTCTGGGGAAGCGGAAGCCCCGGGAGAATCCAGGGTTTGTGAGCCCCAAACGGGGACTGGGGAGAAGGAAGCCACCAGCCGGTTCGCTCAGGCTGACCAATTACTTGTCTACACGGGCGCGACGTTGGCTCTTGTGGGGCCCCAAACCGCCTGGCTTGTGATTGGAGATGAGGAAAGAAAAGGAAAGCCATGATTTTTTTGACATACCCAAGCAGGACGGATCGACACGGTAGGTTGATTTGAGTGTTCACCAGGTTTCATCCATCCCAAGTGCGGGAGTTTAGGCCAACAAACCTTGAATGGGTCTCTGGGGACCTTGACGGAACCCGACGATTGCCCTGCTGAACAGGACCTGAGTCGGGTGAACGTGGTGTCTGGCCGGTGAGCTTACTTGCACAACATCGATTCCAGTAGATCACCTGCAACGAGACATGCGAAGTGGATACCCGAAAAGAGAACATGATCCTCTATCATAGGGGTTTATGGCCACAGTCAAATGGGTACGTCTCAAAATGGGAGCCCCTTGCCATAGGTCGCTTTTTCCCCATCCCTTTGACGCACAAAATCTAGGACCCGCCAAATTGGAGGCACCCAGCAACCGATCCAGCGCTGGGGATCCGAGGCGAAGTTGCTGAAGAGCAACGAGTTCGCGTTTTATTTGAACACCGACAGCAGCCGCCCCAGCGCGCTGCTCTGGGGCGGCGTGGACAAGGACAGGTGGACGGGTGAACCCCCGGCTTTCGTGGAGGGATGGGGAGGTTCTTCACCACCAACCGATCCAAACCGCCAATCCAAACCATAGAGGGAAACTGAGAACAGCCACTTTCGGGTGGGGGAGGGGTCGGGTGGGGTTGCTGAAAGGAAGAGAGTTGCCGGAGATGTTTGAAGCAGATCCAAGTGGAACTTGGGGGATTTTTCTTAGAGTTTGGATTCCAGAGACCATCTGAAACGAGACACTCACTCTCACTCCCTCTCTGTGATACAAGACGCACGCTGCCAGATGAGAAGGACATGCAAACAAGATGTGCCAGAAAGTTGTCGAGTCATGGCGTTTGTGAAGGCTCTACAGAGCACGAGAAAGCGGATGGTTGAACTTTGACCGAGCTTGAGCACTTGAGAACTGAAGTCTTTAAAGAGATTACCAAAATGTGTGGATTCTTGTTGGCTTCCCTAGGCAACCCAAACAAAAAACCGAGAAAGACTCAAGTCCGTCGCTTGCCCACGAAGCAAAGCGCAGGACTTGTTCGAGAGCCCCATTGCGACTTGGCTGTGGCCGGTTTTTGTTCGGGTGCGGTTGTCGGGTTTGGCGCTGTTCTGCTGGCGGGGAAAGCGCCCGGAATGGAGTCATCATACATCTCGCATTTCGATGTATATACAGACCACATGTGTATTGCAACGGTACCTGGTGGAGTTGTTCTGGTTTCGGAGAGCCAGGAGTTTGTTTGTGGCCAGATGCGATGACGCATGCTAGAAGCTTGAGAGTAAGGCCTTGAAGATTAAAGAGAGACCGAAAAGAAGAGGGGTTGCCGAACGGCGTGAACGGCGGCACCCGAAGCTTTGACGAAAGATGTTACCAGTAACAGGCCGATCTTCAACCCTCCGTTTTGATCTCTGCCCATGTTGAACCTTTTGGTCTTATATATCGTGGTTTCCTTTTTTGGTTTCCGTTGATTTGTCTCCGAACCATCCCATAAACACTTCTTTCAGCAAGCACCCATAGGTTCCCCTTACTTGGTTACTTGGAGAGTCAACCGACTTGCCACCTACCTACACTGAAGGACTACAACTCACAAAGCAGAAACTAGGCATCCCCCTGTGAGCCAGCTTCATCATCGGTTCACACATCAATGAGGTCGTTGTAATTCGCCCAGGCCTTTTTTTGGGGGATGGCACTTCTTTGGCAAAATCAACAACGAGGCCTCGTTGGCATGCGAATCACTTGCCGAGCGGGCCATACAGGGAGCTAGTCGCAGGAGCGCTAGTCGTACCCTCCCAGCATAGAAGTGCGCAGGCAAATGCCACGTCCTTTCTTAGGAATCGGACAAGTTGTGGTTTCCATTTCGCTTCCTTTTAGCACCTACACAAAAGGGGCTCCAAAAATGACACACCCAAATCCTTTCCTGAACGAAGTCTTTCAACAGCATCGCGCTCTGTGGAAGAGGAGATAGGACTTCACCCTCTGGTAGACTCCGGGAAAACCGAACCAAACAGACCAAACCTCCACCAAGCTGTTTTTTATTGGTGGAAGGTGCAGGAAAGAGGCAACGCTGGCTGTGATGCCTGGCTCGAAACTCTTATTTGAGTCTACCAGGAAACCACCAATTTTTGATCAGCAGGATATCCAGACGCACCAACGCAAAATTTAAGAAGTTCCGACTCAAATTCCAGGTGCCTACTTGCTCCTTGCAACCTACTTGTTGGTAACCTACCGCTTGTTTCGGGGACATTGACCCCCCCCAAAAAAAATAATCCAACCTAGCCGACCCTGTGTTCCCTCGATGACTCAGGTCATGTTTCCGGTGGTGAAGCCCCACTATTGGCGCCGCCCTCGGATAAAACAAGGCGTGCAAAAGGCAACAGGCCGTCTCGTTTCTGCTTGACGACCAAACGGGGCGTCAGGTCTTACCCCTTTTTTTGCGGACACCAGATTTACAGGCTTTCTGGCGTTTGAGAAGATATTCATTTCGCTCACGTAGTTCCTTATGAAGCTGGACGGCTTTACCTGATTGACAGACGGAGACTTGCATGTTGGGACTGGATACGCATGATGTTGGGAGCTTCCCAAACTGATGTCAGTTTGGCTACCGGCTACCGAACATTGTGGCCAAATGACCTCCAACTTTTTTCAACATCCTTCTGGAAAAAAACACAAAAAATACATTTCTCTTGAATTGTCAGGCCACAAGCCTTTCAGAGGTGGTGTTGGTGCTCCGTTTGTTGCGCACTTTTCTTGTACAGAAGATTGCACCATGGTCTTTCTTCATACTTGCAATGTTGACGACCATCTCCAACAAATCATCAGTTCCTTCCATTGCTGAAGGAACCCCCAGGAGCCAAGACAAAAAGGGGAGCTGTATGCAAAATATGTTGGAGCTTGGGTATTTGGTATGTCTGGAATCTTGCACGGGTCGATGAAATCCTTGCACGGGTCGATGAATGTTGAAGACCGTAGCTAGAAATGATTGTCTCTTGTCAGATTATGGTAGTCTGACATATGCAAGGTCCGGTGAGGTGGTTGACCTGAAATCATCGCGCATTGATGCTTGCGTGGCGTCAGCAGCTCTAGTGGCAGAGCTTCATCGATTTCCCCCAATTTCCCGAGCCATGGCATGCTGCTCCTGCAGGACGCCGGTTTTTCCAACACCACTGGCGGAGTACGCGAGATCAATGAGGAAGCTGGATGTAGGCACACTACCGATGCATTTTCCAATGTACACTGTCCCTTTGAGCGTCTTGTTGGGGATGACGAAGCTGGAGCCTCATGAAGAGCTAAAGGCCAGAGATGCCTTGGTCGAGTTCAAGAGAACGATGGGCAGGGCGGCATTCGTTTCACACCAGTGGCTTACACCCAGCCACCCGGACCCAGACTGCAAGCAGATGAAGATACTCCAAGAGGCTCTGAAGCATGCGATGACCAACTTGAAGTTCATACCACTCGATAAAGAAACGGAAGTTATGGATTTTCACGCCAAGCCGCTGCCCGCATCCAAGCTCTTCTCAGAACCATTGTTTTTCTGGTACGATTACTTTTCATGCCCTCAGGATCCTTGTAATTCTCTCAAGCTTTCGCATGGCATCGCCAGCATACCGGCATACGTGCATGAGTGCTCCTTCTTTTTTGCCCTTGTGCCGGTCTTGGGGAGTCTCGAGCACCTGATTGCTCCATCGACATGGCACGCTCGTGGTTGGTGCCGTTTTGAGAGAACTTGCAGAGAGCTTGCGGACGACCATTCCTGGATCGTGGTGAAAAGCTCGAAAGATTTGGAGCTTATACAATCGGCACAGGCATCTGCACTGACCGGGTCTGAACCGGTCGGCGAAGGCCTCTTCACTGTCGACTCGGATCGGGTCAGACTCTTGCCAGTTCTATTGCTTGTGCTGCAGCGCAAGATGCTGCGTTACCTCCTGGCCCAAGATTTTCCGGCATACCGTGCTTTGCTGAACCAGCAAACTGTGATGCTCAGAGGGTGGGATTGCAAAATGTTCGAGTCACCTCCAGGCTTTCAGCAAGAGATTGAGCCGAACTCTGCGTCCATGAGTTTCTTGATTCAGAACGGTTTCCAAGGCATCCATGAGAGTGACAGTTGTGGATGGTACCCTCTTCATTATGCTGCTCTGAAAGGAGATCCATCAATACTTCAAGAGTTGCTGAAGTTGCGTGCGGATCCAAACAGAGGCACCAAAAAGGTCCATGCAACCCTTGGATTTGAACCTGGCATGAGCTCTCTTTCCATATGCTGCTTTTTCAAACACAATGAAGCTGCCCGGCTTCTCCTGTCGTGTAAGGCCAAAGTCACTGCCAAGTCTTTTGTATTTCAGCCTATCATTTGTGCAGCGGCAGCAAATAATGTCGAAGCTGTCCAGATTCTTTGCGAAGCCGGCTGTAGCCCTCTTCAGCGAAATGGCTTTGGCGCCGCTGTCTTCGAACTTGCTGCCAATTGCGGTGGAGTGGAAGCCGTGGATGAGTTGTTCATGCAAGGCAGCGCTGGTGCCAGAAATGCGACCTCAGCTCTTCACTCGGCAATGCAAGGTCGTGGGGGTGCCGAGGTAGTCCACAGACTGATCGGCATGAGAGCAGATGTGAATGATCAGGAACCTGACTGGTGCAAGCGCACAGCAATCGCGCGAGTCATCACCAAATTGATGGTTTGTCAGTACCGGTTTCAAAAGGTCACACTGATGAATAACCTATTTTATCATGCAGAAGGTGCAACACCGTTAATGAGTGCTTTAATGACTGGGCATTACGAAGGTGCTGCAGCGTTGATCGATGCCAGAGCAGATCTTCATCTACGGAACTCTCGGGGATGGACTGCGGCAGACTTCGTACAAGGTCATGCTGTGCCAGACTGCCTGCAAGAGGCTTTTGAAGGAAATGCGGAAGGATGCCGGCAGGTGTCATTGCTGGCACGTGGTTGGGTCGAGATGCAATTTTAAGACATCTATGAAGTCACGAGGCATGCTCCAGTTTCGCGTTTTTTCGGCTTACGGAATCTGAGAGATGCTCTTGGCTTGGTAGCTGCGGGTGCACCCCGAAGGGGGTATGTGCGCAGCGTCAGCACATTGTGCGCGATATCACTAGCAGAGGGGTGCGTGCTAGGCTGCTAAGGTGTTTCTTTTGGCTAGTTCCATTGAAGACGATTCAAGACGGCGAAGAGATGATTCACAACGCGCAGCAGCACCCTGCCCTGTTTAGTGTTCACCTTTTGGCTCATTGCCTCGCCATCGGGGGATTGAAAACATTGGGACAATGCCAGTTTGCGCGCCAAGGGTACTCTCGCCACTTGGCAACTAAATGACAGCAAAAGACGGGATAACCATATCGGACAGGAGGAACAGCAGTGGACATGCATTGAACAGACCTTGGTGTGGATGAGGCAATGTTCGCTCCTTCTCTTGCGATGTCCCATGTTCTAAGAAATTTTGTGTAATGATTGGATCTGGCAACAACAGGTTGTGTCTCCGGATAATCCCGACCCCCCAACCGGTGATTTTCGTGTTGGTTTCTTTTTTAAAAAAGATACCAAGAAAAGACTCCACACCATAAGCTAAACATCAAGGTAGCCACAAAGCAGGGAGCTTCAGGGTTTAGCAGTTCGGGGCCAGCAGTCAGCCCACATTCGCTGATAAAAAGCGGAGGAATGGAGAAGTTTATGAGTGCACAAGCACATGTTCCTGGTCCCACTGGCCAATGCGGATCCAAAATGTCGCAACTTGGTCAAGGATGCCTTGGGACCATGACCCTTGGCAGGATGTCTTCCTGTCGCCCTTTCACCTTGCCGTTTTTGGGGTTTGATACGGTTGTGTCGTTTTGGGAGGGCCCTTTTTTGAGGCAAAGCAACATGAGTTTTCCAGCCATTCGGGGATCCCCTTGAGCATGGCGGATGCACGAATCTCTAGCGTGTTTTTTCGCCACTTTTTGGGTAGGCTTGAGAGGGACACCTACATGAATTACACCCACACGCCCCTTCAAACATCACACCAAAGACAGTGTTCATCAGCGATTGAAAACGCCTGCCCAAAAGCAAAACGGTCAATCATTTCTCTACGAAGGGACACATTTATACCCTACATTTTTGTTTTTCGAGCTCACCAATCTTGGGGGAAGAATCTTCAGGCCGCCAGGTGTCAGTGAAAGTGGATGGCACAATTATGGGGTCATCATTTTGACTGCTTCTTGTGGTTGTCAAAGTCAGAAAATGTGGTTGTTTCCCTTTAACCCACCACTGAACGGGGGTGACTTTGATACTGGTACAATCATGAGGCCAGCAATTCCAAGTTGATCATCCGCATCTTATGTTCTCCCAGCCCGGGTTCGGAGCCTTGCAGGTGTCCCATGCCTAAATTGGCTCTAGTCTTGTTGGGTTTTTGACTTCTAACCCCAGCCGTTTTTTTGCTTCTTCTTCTTCTTCTTCTTCTTTTACAACAAATCCGAATGGGTATGAGTCAACATGAGTCCGCAAGGTTCCATTTACCAGGGCAAGCAACTTTATTTACATATTTTTGACCCACAGCCGCACGCTTTTTCACCCAGCCCACGTGGCGGGAGAAAGGCGGGAGCCGCCTGAAGGTCCCTGGAGCTTGTGGACTTCCGGATCCGCGGGAAGTCCCTGAAGGCGGGAGTTCAGCTCGGGGAGTCCGGGGAGTCCGTAGGTCCCCAGTGCCCTGTTTGGCCCTTTTGGTTGGGAGATTCGGTTCCCGTACTAAAATAGACAAAACCGAAAAACCGCAGGCACCCTTATTCTAACCTCTCAAATCTGGAGGACCTAGGGGGGGTGAGCTCCCTCGGCTCTTCTTTTCTTCTTTTCCTCGGCTTCCTGGACCTGGTCAAGGGTCATGTTGATTGGAGGCCACACTTTTTCCCACGGACACCACCAAGCTCCTCAACTGTTTTTTGTTGACACGGGAACCCGGACCAAAGCTGTGGCGCACTCAGGAAGTGAGTGGAGGTTGACTGGAGGGTGTTGGAGCAAAGAGGTTCCTTTCTATAAAGAGGAACCTTCTTATTTTGGAGGAACAACACCTCTTTCTTTGAAGGCACCATCGATTCTTCTAGAGGATCTGTTTTGCTGATGAGCCGGCTTTTTCCTTGCGCGGGTTCCATTTTATTTTGCATGGAGTATGGCAGTGAGGCGGAGATCCTTGTTTTTGTTGGTTGACTTTTGAAAGGCCACCAGCCCTTGTTTATTGTTGTGTGGGCAAATGGCCAGGTGTGGCAAAACGATTTTGAATCGACCGCTGGAAAAGCCGGTTTTTCCCTGAAAGAGCAGCCCCAAGAAGGTTGCCTTAGTCACACAGCCAATCATTGGCTATGTGTTGAAGAGCTGAAGACCACTTGCTGAATTCATTTTGGAAGCGAGCAGCGATGGTTTTTGGCCATGGGTCAAAACCCCGTACCCCCAGTGAACATCCCAATCTCCACTAGAATAGACTAAAATGGGTGGTGCACCTATCCCAAAGTGGTACCATTGGTTTTGAACCATGGCCATATCCCTCTTGCACAAAGAACGAAGTGAACGAAGTCCGTGTTGGGATGGCAGCAAATGCAAAGGAAGCAAGTCGCTACTTTTTGTCGAGAGCGGGCGACTTTCTTGGCCAGCATTGAGATTCAACCGCGAATCATCGTACCGTCTCTGCTTTCATGTGAGGATCGACTCGGCTAGCAGGGGCAATCAAACGGGTGAAAGCGCCTGCCAAGCAGATTTTTTCTCATGTTCAAACTCAGATATGAAGATCAAACCCGCATTTTGGGTATCTTCCTGGCCACCATGTGTTCCCCCCAATTGCGGGGAACTTTGGAAAGGTGGCCGCATGAACCACAGCCCCAAGACCGGCTGTCGTTCCCTGCTCCGAACAAGGGGTTAAACCATACAGTGGGCTGGTACCAGGGAAAAGGAGATGGGTCTCCTGGCGTTCGGACTTCCACCTGTTGCCGAGGACGTAGCCCGGGAGCTTGAAAACGGCACCCGTTAAACTTCGTTTGAAGTGCCTGCGAACGCCCGCTTGACAGCCTGGGTAAAACCAGGCGCAAATGAACCGGTGGGCAAGTGAACTTCCAGGAACCCAAGTTCAGGGAACCCCGCCTGGATTGCTAGTTTGTTTTTCCATTTTTTTTCCCTTTTGTTTCTTCTTTTTTTCTTCTCCTTTTTTTCCCCCATGCACTTTACCCCAAAAACCGATCGCAACAGTGACTGAACAAAGCGATCGCAACTTGGCTATCTAGGCAAATAGTCGGCGTGCTGGTTCTTGAGGGCATGTCCAACCGCCAAACCAGAGAGATTCGGCGAGTCGCCCGGGGCAAGCAAGCGGCCCAGTTTGAATCTCGGAAGCCGTCGCTCGGAGCAGGCCCGCGTGTCCGAGGACAACAAGGCCGTCTCGGATCCTGTGAAAAAAACAAGTCACCTGAAAGGGGCAGAGTGCGCAAGGTGAGTTGGTGCTTGGTTCATGTACACTGGAACGGGAAGTGGCCCCTCTTAAATGGTGTCCGCGCTTCTGCCAGCTCCCTTTTTTTTGGCGTGCTCATTTTGGCTCGTTGGTCGTGTAAGGTGGTAGCGCTCAGCACCACCAGGCTCCGATTTCCCGTTCCCGTGGAAGCACTTTGGGTGGTTCTCAAAGAAGGACCCGAATGGTCGGTTCCTGGTGGACGCCTTTCTATGCGCCAAGCTAAAAGGAGTTCACTCTGGTTCTTGTAAATGGGAAACTATCCTCAACCATCAACCCACCAATCCAAGCAATTGGAGGAAAGCTGATTTGGCCATGGGTCAAAAGCCCGTACCCCCAGTGAACATCCAAATCCCCACTAAAATAGGTTCTAAAATGGGCGGTGCACCTACCAATTGGCCCACAGCCATTTTTCTGGGTTTGGTTCTTCGGGGTGTACTCCCACCAATCCAAGCAATTAGAGGAAAGCCGATTCTCCTTGGTTTGGTTCTTCGGGGCGGTTCCCACCGCCCCAGGGATCTCCATCCCGTCACGTACGCGAGGCCAAGTACGTCTTGGTGGACAGCGGCACCACCTACTTCACCGCGCCTTCGGCGACTCGGATCGAGGGCGCCAGCGATGCTTCGCGGCGTGGTTCGGAGCCAGCCTTCCGGAATCCCGAAAGGGTTTTGAGTGGTTTTTAGTCGATTGACTTAGCTTTTTAGCGGTTTTTAGTTGGCTTACTTAGCTTTCTAGTGGTGTTTGTAGTTGGTTTACTTAGCTTTTTAGTTGTCTTTAGTTGGGGTTTTTAGTTGGTTTACTTAGCTTTTTAGTTTGTTTTTGGTTGGTTTGCTTAGCTTTTCGGTAGTTTTTCGTTGGTGACAGGTCAAACTTTGAGCAGGGGATCAGAAAACGGACAGCCCAGTGTGTGTGTGTGTCAAAGGCAGGGGAGCCATGAACATGGTTTGGGTTTGCGATGTTTTGGCTCCAGAGTTTGTTGCCTTGACAGTCGCGGGGGGCGATTTCCAGAGTCAAGATAGCCTGACGTCTTGTTCTGCCGCTTATCCGGGATGGCTTTCTCACCTTGATGAAGAGAGGGGTTGTTGCGGCAGAACATTTGGAGCTAGAAACGTTTGGATGTGGAGCTTTCGAAATTGTATCCCCCCCAGCCAGTGGTTTCAATCGTGGCCTTTTCGTGCCAGAACTGAGCTTCCCCTCAGTTTTCTTGGGTGGGGGTCAGTTTAAAGGGGCGGGGAATCCAGGTCGAAACCCAGGCACTCAGCAAGTGGTTCGTTGGTGGGCGTGTCGCAAAATAGGTTTTCCCCCCCCTTCTGCCTTTAGTTTTCCTTTCCGACCCAAAAAGGGTACCCCCAAAACCTGAAACCCTCAAAAAGGCTCCCACCTAGTCTTTTGAGGAGATGTACTTCAGCATCCTCAAGCACTTCCCCGAAGCGCCATGTAGCACCTCGAGCTTCGATTTGTGGGCAAAGACTGAGAGTGCGCATGTGGGGATGTGCCACAATAGGCGAACCCCCCCCCCCCCCAAAATCGTGGCTTTCCATTTGGTTTCCCTTTCAACTACCCAAACAGGTTGCCCTGTGAGAGGGACTTGTCGTCAGGCACCTTTTTGTTTGTTACAACCTTGGACGACTTGTTTGTAAACATGGTGTTTTTTGTTGACCTTGCAAGCTTCTTTTGCAACCAGGACTGTCGTGGCACTTTTGGACAACCTTGGCAGGCTTTTCCCAAGCTTGGCATGCAGCTTCTTGCAACCTTGGGTGACTGTCTCAACCTTGTGCGACTTTACCATAGCCCGCCAGTTCTTCGGCAACCGCCCGCTCCCTTTGACGGGCGGGCCTGCGGCCTGTGTAAATCAATCCTTTGGCTGGACTCGGGCGTGGACTTTTGACAAATGGCTTGCGCCCCGATTTTTTTGAGGCTAGTTTGAGGCCGGATTCTTGTGAATAGTTTGAGGGTACCGGTGCTTGGCAATTCGCCGACTTTCTGCCCGTTTCGTCTCACTCTGACCCCCCATCCGTTTGACATCGTCTCAAAGCTGAGCTGCACACGGTTTTGGCTTGTAGCTTTCACGGGCTCTGTTTTTTGACATTCAGAACCTTCTTTCTGTGTGTGGGCCATGCTTCCGGTATTAGTACAGTGTGCAGCAACCCTACACGAAGCAAGCCCACACCGACCCTAAGCCATCCCAACCAATCCTGAAGATCTAAAACCAACCTAAGCCAATCCTCAACACACACTAAACAAATTCAAGCCGACGCTAGAGCCACCCTAAACCAACCCTGAGCCAACCATAAACCCGCCTAAACCAACCCTAAACCACGCTAAACCAACACCAAACCACCCTAAGGCCACCAAAGACCAACCCATCCAGCTCCGAACCCTTGTAAACTAAGCCAATCCGCAACACACCCAAAGGGCCAACCGCTTTAAACCAGCCCTAAACAAACCCTAAACAAACCCTAAACCAACCCTGAATCAACCTTGAGCCAACCCTAAACCGATTCTACATACTTATGCCGACCCTAAACAACCCTAAACCAACCTAAGCCAACGCTATAGCCATCCTAAGCCGACTCTAAGCCAAACCTAAATCTACCAACCCTAAACCTGCCGTGAACCAACCCAAAACCAACCCCAAGCCAGCCCTAGACCAACTGAGTGAGAGGGAGAGAGAGAGAGAGAGAGAGGGAGAGGGAGAGACGGAGAGAGGGAGAGAGGGACATGTTTTCCTAGCTTTTTGCAGCGACTGGTTCCCATTGTGGTCTTTCATCTGCTTTTCCTCTTGCACAAAGGGCGCCTTCTAAAAAAGAAGAAGAACAACAAAAAACGTTTGGAGAGCGTCGTGGCTCTGCGGAGACAGTGTCATGTCGCGACCTTTAGGCTGGGGTCAACATGTTTGCTCATTTCTGGGGGTTGAAGTCAGAAAGTGGTTGGTTGTTTCCCCCTATCCCTGGGGCTTAATGATACTATGCCTGCCTCACCTCCTCCGCTGGTTTCCAACGGCCTCAGCAAGGCGCTAGCGTTGTTGGGGAAACAGGGGGAAGGAGGATAGGGGATGGCACGCGGTACTGTCGATCCCTGATGAATTGATGCCTTTGCAGATTCCTTGAGGAGCGGTGTGACACCCCCGCCCTCACAGCACAAAAGAAAGAAGAGAAAACCAGAAAGGCCGGTTTCCCTCTTGCCATCGGACGGCCCTATTTATCAGTTTGGGATGCGTTGGCCAACTGCGGTCCCACACGACTATAGAAATCAGCCAGTTTGCGGACAGATCTTGCTCACTCAGTGCTTTCCGCGCATTGGACAAACGTAAGCTCAGAGTGCCTCGCATGCCCCCTTTTTGTGCGGTTAAACATCAGCTTTCGGGCGAATTTCAAACAAGAGTCAGTTGGGAGTGACGGGTCAAAGGGGAAATTCAGACGTGTCTAAGCAGGAGCGTGGCAAATAAACTCTGAGGTGCAGGGTTGAATCAAGGAGTTTATTCCCACTTGTGTGATACGAGGGAATCTCCCCCTTTGTATGGGGTGTTAGTCTTTGGGAAGTGCTTTGTGTTGTATCACAGAAGTGGTCCTTTCCCACAACCCTGCTGAGGTGAGGTTGAGGACTACCCGCCCATCCAGTACATCCTGCGGAGTGCGCACAACCAGACCTTCACCCTTGAGGCAGCCAAACCGAGAACCGAGCGGCTTGAGTGAGTTCGGATTGACCCAGCGATTGTCGTCTTTGATTTGCTCCTGTTTCTTGGGCGAGGAACCGACCAACAGATGCGGCTTACACCTCTTGGTTTCCTTGAGACACCCCACAAAGGGTCCACCATTCTGACCCAGTTGCCCAGTGGCCCCCTTTTCCAACTTTTTTGGCAAGGGTTCCCCTTTAAAAGTCAACTCCACGGGGCATTTGAGTTGACCACCCGCTTTGCGCTTTGCGCGGTGGTCAGGTGAGCCAGGAGACCTACATGGCGCCTTGGCGGTGTCGGCAGGAATCCATGGGCATCAGTTGGCGGAAGGCGGAGGAATTTCTTGCAATGAACCAGCTACCAACGGATTTTGTCCAGTAAAATTCGCGATACCCAGCTACCGGCTACCAACGCATATTGTCCAGTAAAATTCGGGATACCCAGCTACCGGCTACCAACGGATATTGTCCGGTAAAATTCGCGATACCCAGCTACCGGCTACCAACGGATTTTGTCTAGTAAAATTCGCGATACCCAGCTACCCACGGATTTTGTCTAGTAAAAGTCGCGATACCCAGCTACCAACGGATTTTGTCCAGCAAAATTCGTGGTAACCAGCTACGGATCTTGTCAACATCCACAGTCTGGCAGGCGAGAGAGGGATAGGCAGACCTTTTGATTGGAATTAGTCAGTTTTAGAGTGTTTTGTTGTTGGCCGGCAGGCAAGTGCCGAGGTTGCTTGTGCCCTGTGCCTAGACGGCACATGATCATGTTATTCTTTTGACGGGGAGTCCACAGGCGTGCCGCGGACACCTTATTTGTTTGACAAACTCACGCCCTAAAACACCAATACCCCGCACAAAGCCGAAACCACCAGTACCCCAACCCAAGCGGTTGCAACATTGACTCTAAGTGTCCACCATACTCCTCCCAAAAAGGCAGGCCATTGCAAGTATGGTTGCTTCGTGAGCAAGGCCTGTCTCAAGAGAGGGGGGCCCCAATGGTAGCTTTCCTTCTGGTTTCCCTTAGCTCAGGTAAACCGGGAATCATGAGAAAAAGGCACATGCCCATGTACACCAGTCGGCGGGCAACGCCAGGGATGGAACCTGACGGTTGGAAGCTCACCCACTTGAGGCTTGCAGGCGCCAGAAGCGCGCTCCAAAATCCTCCGGTGGTCAAGGGCTTTTGTTTGTTGGGGGGGACAAAACCCAACGAAAAAACGTACCCCCCCAAAAAAACAACAACACCGTTTTCCCTGGATGGAAGCCAGAGCCTGAGGTCATGGACGAGTACGACTCCTGCCGCCCTGCCTTCATGAAGCTGGACATCAAGCGGAAGTCCTATGGCCCGGCGATGATCCTGGGAGAGGCTTCTCGGCCTCGGGGCTGGGCCGGAAGGAAGCGGACAACTGGTGGACTGGTTGAGGGGGCGGGGTGTGCAACTGCAGGGCACGCAAGGAAGACAACTGGACATATTTTCTTCTTCCATTCTTTTCTAGTAGCAACGCGTGGCGTCGCCTTTGTTGTGGATGTGGCGCTCCCCCCCCCCAAAAAAAAAAAAACGAAAAAAGGAAAACAAAAAACAGTGGAGAGGTTTCCAGGTACCCGTTGGCACTATGGTCAGAAGTCAGGTCGAACGCGTCTTGGGCACCAGCTGCCGGGGTGGGGAGGGGGAACCCGGCACACAGAACTCTAAGGTATATAAAGGCAGGGAGAGGGTGGGTTTCGAGGCCGGAAAGGCAGATTTGCTTTCGAGCATTTCCAAGCATTTCCAAACTTGGCTTACCTCTTTGCGATTCTTTGCCCTCCCTTTTTTTACAATGAATTTCGGGTTCCCTTTGGGTTTCTCTTTAAACCCCCAGAAAAGAGTACCGTCAACACAGACACCTACTTTGGAGAAGGAGGGTGTGGGTTGGAGAAGTCCGGGCCAGAGGACACCCCCAAAGGGAGCCCACAAAAAAGGACACGCACAGGACAAGAGTCCACCTTTCAACGGACTACATATTTGGGTATGGCTCAAAGTTAAACGATCGGAGGGGCGGTTTCCGCAGGTTTTGGTACCCATGTTTCCACTTACTAGGGTTCCAGGTTGGTACCGGTTTTTTGAGCCACAGCCATTTTTTATTTATTCCCCAACAGCTGAAAGCTTTGGGGTCTCAGCCCAGATAGGCTCCGGGGTGGTTCGGGGCGACCCTGAGCTAAGGTTCCACCAGGGTTCCGCCAGGGTTCCACCAGGGTTCCACCAGGGTTCCACCAGGGTTCCACCAGGGTTCCACCAAAGGTCCAAGGTTTCCACCAGGGTTCCACCAGGTTCTGCAAGGGCTGCGGGTGGTCCGGGGTGGTTTGAGGTAAGGTTCCACGAGGGTTCCACCAGGGTTCCACCTATTTCTTCGAGGGCTGCGGGGTGGTCCGGGCTGGTTTGAGGAAGGTTCCACGAGGGTTCCACGAGGGTTCCACAAGGTTCCACAAGGGTTCCACCAGGTTCCACCAGGGTTCCACCATTGCAGGCTGCGGGGTGGTCCGGGTGGTTTGGAGGTATAGAGAGTTCCACCAGGTTCCACCAGCCCTTTGTGCTCCGGACGAGGGTTCCACCAGCACCAGGGTTCACCAATTTCTTCGAGTTGTTGTGGAGCCCGTGTGGAATCGTTGCAGAACTTTGTGGAACCCTGTGAAACCTCAGGGCCCGCAGCCCTCGCAGAGTCTCGTGGAACCCTGAACTCATGGAACCTTACCTCAAACCACTCCGGACCACCCCGCAGCCCACACAGAACCTCGTGGAACCCTGCTAGAACCGTGCTGGAACCTTCACGGACCCTTACCTTGCAAAACCTGGTGGAATTCTAGTGGATCGGACCCCTGGTGGAACCCTGGTGGAACCGTCGTGGAACCTTCCACAAACCAGCCCGGACGGCTCCACAATGTTCCACCAAGGGTTCCAGAAATGTTCTGCAAGGTTCCGTGGAGGGAAGCAGTGTGTCGTGCGCCCGTCGTTTGAAAAGCCATCGGATCAAGATCGCTTTGCTCATGGGCGGAACACTAAGCAAAACCGAAATCAATGGCTTTTAGCACACTTTCACTGTTTTCTGACTTGCTCACTTGCTCAGGCAAATGTTGGCTTATCAGATCACGTCGCTGCGGGACTCACGGTGCAGCAGAGTAGATGCTTCCAAGATTTCCACGAGGCTGCGAGGGCTATGAGGTAAGGTTCCAAAAACGTTCCACAAGGTTTTGGCCAGGTTCTGCAAAAGCTATGGGGCAGCCCTGAGGAAAGGTCCCAACAAAGTTTCACGCTGAGCTCCACAAAAGTTGCATGAGAACGGTTTGCGAGGTTCACCGGGCCTAGGAAGGGGCCCGATTGCACTGTCGGGGCCCGATTGCACCGTTTGGGCCCGCGCCCGACTCGGGCCCCGTCAACTGTACCACTGGCATCGCCTAGTTTTGCTATAGATACAGTTGTAATCCGCATTCTAAGGAAAACCGCCGATAATATTGGTGGCTGGGGTTGCACCACGGGACGATCGGGCCCCGATTGCACCGTCGGGCCCCGATCGGGCCCCGATTGCACCGTCGGGCCCCGATCGGGCCCCGATCGCACTGTCGGGCCCCGATCGGGCCCCGATTGCGCCGTCGGGCCCCGATCGGGCCCCAATAGTGAGGTCGGGCCCCGATCAGGGCGAGATTGCGCTGTCAGTCATAGCTTTGCTTTAGAACATCCTCAGCAACACTGGCGGTAAGGATGGTCCCGGGGCGTTCCGCGAGGATTCTGTGTGGGTGTGGTGCTGTTGGGGATATCGCCCGAGCTTATTTATTTTTTAAATGTCCAACACGTTTTTTTCAGGTGTCCGGTCTAAGAACACAATTCCGGTCGTTGCGGTTTGACCCGGGCGGCGATGGGCGGCGATCGACTCTCAGGTCTTCATGCGGCACTTCTTCACGGTGTTCAGCCGAGGGGTGCTGAGCTCAGAGAGGGGCAATGCCAACCCAATACCAGCGAGATCTCATGGCTTTTGGGTGGTTGGATAGAATCCGATCTTCGCTGTTGGATCATGTGTTTTTCTTCCTTTTTTTTCTGTGTGTGTGTGTGTTTTTTTTGGTTGGTTGGGTTCTGTTCATTTTTAGTAGGGGGCTGCAAAAGCGAATATATTCTTTTCACCATACCAACGGTGGGACAGTTTATCATGTACATACATATGCATTTGCTTTGGTTTGCCTTACCCTGTGATGCGATCTCCCTGGGTTGGGCTCAAGCCCAAATCGAAGCGCCCAACTCGAAGCTTGGGCCTGGCCCTTGTCTCAAACAATGCGTTGACGCGCTTCCCTGCGCAGATTCTTTTCTTGTCCTGTTTTTTGTCTTGAAGCTTTCAGTCCCCCCGAAAGGTGCGCTCAAAGGAGCGACCGGAAAGCTCTGCGGCAAAAAGCCAGTGTGACTCGCCAGACTTTTTGGGGTACTTCCGGTGTCTGCTTTTTGTCCAACCGCGCTGGTGGAAGTTTTCAAGTGTTCAAGTTTGCCGTCTTGTCCCTGTCGTGCTTTCAGTCCTCCAAGACATTTCTTGTGACCCGTGGTTTGGAGCCCTCTTTGTATGAGCATGTGGTATCCTTGCCTGTTTCACAGCAAACGGAGTTTTTCTCCATTGTTTTGCTTGAGGATCCCAAGAATGCTGGCAGGGCCGCGCTTGGACTGAACATCGAAGAAGGATCCCGCGTTTTGCTGAAAAAGGCGTGGGTAAGTCTTTTGACATGAATTCAGCCTATGACAGCAGACAAGCTCCGGTTACAGACGCGCTGCGGATGCCTTCGTTGTGATGTAGGCCTTTGGGTGGACCATAATATGTAAACACATATACAGTATGTGCTTTTCTTTGCCACTGGTTCCTTGTTGTTTTTCTTGAAAAACGCCAAACATGGGATACCCTCAACAAGAGACACACCCATGGAAATATGGCAATGGGGCATAGCCTATGGCTCCGTTTTGGGGTGGATGAACATCCATTTGTCACCTATTTTGACGTTTACCAGGGGGCACAGGGTTTTGACCCATATGCATCTAGATCTCAGTTTCGGTAGGGGTTGTGCACAGGCTGTCGCTTCAGAGTCCCGTTGCAAATCGTGCCAAGTTGGGAGAGAAGTCACAGGGGGTTAAGGACTCCTGATGGCTTGAAATCAGTGTTGCTCGAGGTTTTGTCCACGGGTATGTGCCAAACAAGCTCCAGGGACACATTTTTTTTTTTTTTGGGGGGGGCGAAACTTCCCGATTTCCCTGCAAAAAGGAGGTATTTTCACAAACCCAAATTATGTTAGGGATGAGTTGGTTTTTCCTTCCAGGGCCGGGTTTTCCTTCTGGTTCCCTGGCAGCTTGGTTGGTTGATCGGTGGGTCGCTTTTTGGGGTCCAGGCTCGGGCAGCGGTTCTCGCCAAGGACGGGAGCCTGGACCAAGCGCGGGTCGGCTTCGCGCGCGCCAAAGTGGGTGACTTGGCCTCGAGCGGCTTCCAGCGCTCGTTCGGCGGTTTGCGTTGGTTGCCGGGAGAACGGCGCGGGGTGCGCCACGCGTGGCACGGTCCTGGAGCTGTCACCGTTGGTTTAGGGTTTCCTTCGGGTTTCCTTGGGCTGGCAGCTTAAAGCGAGCTGCTCAGCCGCGTTTTTTTTTTTTTTGGTCTTCCGGGTTCGGGTTGCTTTGGGCTAGCCTCTTGGTCTTGTTCGCTTTGGCGCCGCACAAAAAGGGGATCGATTTGGAAATCCCCACGTCTTTTGCGAAGCCTGGAGGAGACCAAAAGGAAGAAAGCGAGCGACCCTTGAATTTCCGTAGGCCGAGGAACTGCGGCTTTTTCTTTCGGGGTCCAATTTTTGGACAGCGTGAGCCCTCCGGCTTTTGATCCGGGAAAGCGACCGATTTCTTGGGACATGTCAGCTCAGAAGCCCTCTGCTTGATCAAACTTCACACCCGGATTCGGGTGTGTCCTCTTTTTTAGGAGTTGGACCATCGGACCTCCCACCTTTGGCTTTAGCTTCCTTTTGGTCTCCCCGGACAAACCACAGAAAACGGGCAGCGGGGTACCAACTCCCAAAAGACAGGCCCATTTTTTTTACCACGTGTTTCTTGCAAAAAAGTGCGGCCCTATTTTCTCCGAAAAAAGACGACCCGCGCGCGGGGCGGGGGGGGGGGGGGCGCGGGGAAGATTTCAGCGGCACGAGCGGGAGATCGTCACTTGGAGCCCCAGGAGCCCAGGTACATTCTGAAAACTAAACGCCCTAAGCCCCCCAAAAAATATCATTATGTTTTTTTTTTTTGAGTTGTTTTTGTTCTTGTTCTTCTTCTTGTGCCTTTTGTTCTTCTCACCTTTTTGTGTTCCTCTTTTTTTCTAGGGGAGTCTATTGAGTTTTTGAACAGTTTGGAGTTGAAGTGCAGTCTAGAGTAAGCTTTTTTTTCACCCACGACTTCGAAAGGGGCCGGACATGGCTTTGGTGGCGCGACTGGGTTGACTCGCTTAGGAGCGGAGCCCAAGGTGGAAACCGCCAAGGCGAACGGATTGTGGGATGGGATGTTTCGAGACAAAAGCGAGGCTTTGGCGCTCAGGGGAAAATGGGGGAAATGGGTGTGTGTGTGTGTGTCTCAAGAATGAGTCTGTCCTTTTTGAGGCTCGGTACCCCTTTTGGGTTTGTTTGAAGAGGGAACCAACAGGAAAACCGTTAAGCCATTTTGGGGGCTTCCGATTCTTAAAAGAGGCAAGCTCAAATAGGATTTGGACCCCTAAATTTTGGGTTGGCGAAGTTGGCGGCCCTTTAGTTTCCTGGTTTGAAAGCCGAAAAGGGGGTGCCCTCAAAGAACAAAAATCGAGCCACGCCCGTATCACGAACCAAACGACCGAGCCCCAATTTCTTGGACATGCGGCAGGGTAAATGTAAAGGGAGCTGCAAAGCCCCAATTTGTCCAATCGGGGGGATTTGAATCCCCGAACATGGATTTTCGTGTTCTACTTGTGTCAAAAGAGGCCCAAATTGACATGGAACCCTGAAAAGGGAGATCCTGCAATTGGCCCCGAACCTGTGTCCTGTGGTTTGGCCGAAGGTCAGTGTCTACCCCTCCCGCAAAGCGGTGGTCTCCGCTGAAACCATGATGGCTGCTTGGGTTCCATGTTAATTTGCTGGGAAGCAGCGCCGTTTGGTGCCTTCTTGAAGTTTCCCAACCTGTTGCAGTGCCGCACAGAAAGAACATGGGGCGTTTCTCTTGTAGAATGAGGGGCCCTGAAAAGCAGGTTGGTTTCGAGCAGGTCCTTTACTCTGCCTGCAGCCCCTTTTGCTTGTACTCACATCAAGGGCCTGTAGCTGAAGGGTAGATCGTCCCAACCAATGTGTGCGGATATCAGCTCTTGATTCAGTGGGCAGGTCTTTGGGGTAGACTCCCTCTCTTGGCGGGGTGACATCTGCTAAGCAGGAAGTTTCGGGAGTTCTGGTTTGGCCTCTCATTAGACGTTGCTAGGAAGCCTCACCCCTCCAGATGTGAAATGATGCGGGAGACAAGTCTCCGCATTTCGGAAGCTCTCCAAATGGTCTTTCTTCCTTTGGTTCCCCCGCAAAACACTTGAATTGATTTAGGGTATCACTGTCTGAAAACCTGACTGGACCTGCCAGTCCTTCCATTTTTCTTCCTCGTTTTGCGAGATGGGCCCATGGGCTAGGGCTACTGATGTTCCCCAGCTGAAAGCTATGGGGTCGTTAGCCGCTCCCGGAGCTGAGGTCCGAGGTTGAAACTCGGAAGGTTCCGAGCCGAGTGCGCGCGCAGATGTGCCTCATGCTGCTGCTTCTTTGATGGGAAGCCCCTCATTTTGTACACACCCCCCTTGCTCCCACCCCACACCACCCACCCCACCCTGGAACCCAAAAAACAGGGTTTTTTGGGGCCCCCCCACCCCCACCCCACCCGCACCCCACCCGCACCCCCGCTCCCCCGGCTCACCCCCCCCCCTCCGATTTTGGAAAGGTCCGCGACTCGCCAGGCCTCCTACATGCAACAGGCGCGACAACCTGCAGATGCCCGGGTGGCTGCCAGGTTTTTTCCCCTTTTTGGAGCGGGGGGGGACGCGCCCGCTGCGAAGCGTTGCAGCGAGTGGTCATTGACTGTTGTCGAAATTGAATTTCGGGTTGTGGTTGGCAGTTGAAGGGAAACCGCTTAAGGAAACCAACACGCGATGTTAGGGGACCACTATTTGGAGACATCCCGTTTGTCGGCCGTTGAAAGGGCAATTGGCCAAGGGCAGCCCGTGTGATCAAACATTTTGTTGAGCCGGGAGCAAGCTACGTGCAGTCGAAGCAAATGGGAGTCGCATAGGGAAAAACACCAATGCCCATCCATTATTGAAATGTCGCGTGGCCAGTTTGTTGGCTGAGGGGATGCTCCGTGATCAAGTCCTTGGCACGGGGTGACCATTCGGGAAACCAGAAAAAGCAGATGAGATTCACCACTAAATGGGAACAGTTACCCATGGCCATTCTCCACATCCATTGTCCGAGTACATTTGCCTACAATCACAGGCAAAAAAGAACCCATATCAAAGGACCGGACATCCGCCTATTTATGGCCACACGAATCAACTTTGGTCCAAGCATCACTGAAGTGAAAAAGTGATTTGGCACCCTCGTAGATCCTCCCGTGCCTCTTTTTTCGGCACTTAGAACGGGGGGTGGCGGCCAGGCCAGCCCGGTGATGAGGAGGCAGAAGGCCAACGTAAGACAAAGGCTGGGCGCATAAATGTGACCGAGAGGAACCGATCTCGGTGGCTGCCTCGAAACGGACGAAAGACGCGTTGAAGCGGCAGTTTTCATGGGGGAAGAATGCCTTGGTTTTGGAAGAAACACGTGAAACAAGTGGGAGTTTCCATGGGGAAAGAATGTGATGCCTGGGTCATGTGGGACTGGTTGCTCCTTGGTTTCGACGTCAAAAAAGCTTGTGGGGGGTTACTCGTGCAAATGGATTCAGACTCTGAAAGTGCGCATGGATTACAAGAAGCCCCCGCCGCTTTGATGAACGTTGTCAGTGAATGGTATCCTTTAAATGCAGTGATCAGCTTGCCGGAAGAGATATCATCCAGAAGATTCGATGCATGTGGCAGGAGTGCTGCCAGTTGGCGCGGCTTTGGAGTCGTTGCCTTCGGCCCAGGCGCATCGTGTGACGCGGCCCCCGCACCGCTCATCGAGCGCCCGCCAGCTCTCCTTTTGGGCGCTTCGGGCGAGTGAGCTTCGTGCGTGATGGACTCCTCTGGCGAAAAAGGGGCGAAAGGTTTGGCACCAGGAAGAAGGGGGGGTGGGGACTGGTCTTGAGGCGAAGGGTAACCCCTTGCCACCTAAAGGGAAACCGTATTTTTTCCTCCGGGGGGGGTGTTAGTGTTGACACACACCCAGAGGAAGGTCCTCAAATCTTCACTTTAAACCCGATAGTTCACCCTGCTCGCCAAGATTCCCCCCCCCCCCACCTTTTTTTCCTTCTTTTTTTGGGGGGGGGGGATGGCCCACCGGGTTTTCTTCCTGCCCCCCCCCCCTGTCCCCCCCCCCGGCGGGTTTCAGCACCGGGTCCCGGTCGAACACCCCTCAGGCGGGCTCAGCGCGCGGTGGCCGCACGCCGTGGCCCTGCTGGAGACCATGACGCGCCGCCGCGTGGCGGACGCGTCCGGCCGGGGGGCCCAGAGGTGTGGCCGGCGGGCGCGGTGCCTCGTGTTGAAGGTGCCCGTGTTCGCAAGACGGTCTTTGCTTCTTGGCGGGGTTCCCATTGTTTTGTGGTTTGAAAGAGGAAGACGGTTTGGAGGTTTCTTGGTGAGGTTGGAAGAACAGGAAGCCAGCCAGTTTGGAGGTTTTCCTATTTTGAGACATGCCAAGATAGAGACAGAGGAAACCGAACGTCAGTTTTGGGGGTCCCGCTTGAAAGACACACGCGACCACACACACACACACATGTATCTCGACTCGACTCGACTTCAACAGACCCCACTTTCTGACTTGCAGGGAATTGCTTGGTACCGTGGATGGACAAAATCCACTTTGCATCAGTTGGGATGGATGAAACCTTTTCCAACAGTGCAGGATTTGGTCCATTGACCTAAACCTCTATTTGCCGCAGCCATGTCCAGTTCAGGGAACCCACCAAAAGGCTGCCTGAGTTGGACTCAGCATGTGTCGGGTCCAAGTTCGGATGGGTTCCCTGTTCTGGTCGGTTTAAAAAAGAAGAAGAACGAAACCCTAAACCCAGCCATGGCCCATAAGCCAACTTTTGCCCTAAACCTTGGGCATGTTGGAGGGTTCCTTTTGAGCCACGTGCCGGGCCAGGTTTCGGGTGGGCATAAGAAGACCAAACGGCTGGATTAACAAGAGGGGTGTCGGAGGAGGGCATCCTTCACTTGGGGGTGGAGACATGCCCCAGATTTATCCAGATAAGTTTCCGGGTCGGCAGCTACGTGGATATTGATGTTGTTTTTGTGTCTGACACTGGCTCGACATCGTGGAATTTCTCTTGCATGCTCCACTTGCGGAACACTTCGCCCGATTCCACGAAGGAGCGAGCACACCGTCCATTGATTTAGATCCATAAGAAAGTTCAGCGGTTGGCCCGTTTTCTGGTCCTTACGGTGGATGCTCCTAATTATTGCAAGTACGGGGACGATAGAAACCCAGTAATTTCCCGTGGTTGTGGATGGTTTACTTGCAAAATTCCGCGGCATCCACCCAAACGCCACTAGCCGCTAGGCACGTCACGTTTCGGCTATGGTTTTCTTTGCGAGGCTTGGCTGATCGGTGTATGGGTATCCTTGTTTGTCTTTGGCAAGTTGGCACAGGGAAACCACACAGAAAGCCCACTTGTTGCTCACTGAAATGAGCAAAATGTTGCGGGAGACTTAAGAAACGCTAAGCTGCAGCCTTCTCACTTAAGCAGATCCAAGCAGATCTCACCCATTGATTTTCCAAGCGATTGCGTTCCACCACCTTTGTTGGTAAAGCTTTCCGACAGGTTCACTGGGTCCAGGTCAAGGTTCACTTCTATGTACTAAAATGACCACCAAACCCAATTGTGATCTGATCAAGTCCATGTTTTTATGGGTATGAGTCAAAGTCAAATGGCAGGTTTTAAGTCGTTGTTTCCAACAAAATGATCCCAATTTTGGGGTTTCCTATTTTTGACCCACACCCTTATTGGCTTATTGGTCAAGGTTTCGTTTTGTTATTCCTGGGTCCTTCGCGTGTCAGGCTCCGTTTGGAATGCCGTGGCCTGGGCGCTCCAGGCGCGGAATTCTGTGCTTGCAACCACCTGGCTCATAGGATTTTTGGGCCGTTTCTAGTGGGCCCCTAGCAGTTTAGGAGTTCACTCCAAAAAGAGTCGCCCTTGAGCACAGCGGGACTGGGCTCGGGTTTTTGATTGTCAAAGTCAGAAACTGGTGGGTTGGTTTGTTCATTTCTCTGTATCCCACCGGCTGGGTGAAATTGATACTGGTGAAATACTTTTTCTGCCCGGAATGACGGGGTGTGTCTCAACCCAACAGCGGATTCCGTTTTGAGGGTCCGGCAAACCAAAGGTCCCCTCGAAGAAGAACCTGGATCGCCAGTTGCTGCTTTTTTCCTATGCACTTTACCCCAAAAACCGATCGCAACAGTGACTGAAAAAGGCAATGGCAACTTGATGCTATCTAGGAAGACACCCAATGCCATTTTTGCGATGCTCGGGTCCCCCCCCCCCCCGCCCCCGACACTCATCGTGGGTTCTCAGGAAATCAGCGGATCAACCCAGCAAATGGAAGCCGAGTGGCTTCCATTGAGTTTCCCTGCACACCCGCAGAAAGACAGCATCTGCACAAAATTTAATGAATTGAGAAGAAAGGGACAGACAGGATGTTTTTCAAGAAGGCCAGGGGTCCCTTGAGCGCGTGGGCGAAAAAGCGTGCCCCGGAAGCCAGGCCGGACGGCAGCAAGTGCCCCCTACCCCGCACACTGTGGCGGTGGACTTGAGGCAGACTCGGGGGCCGACTCGGGGGGAGTTGGTGGCCCTTGGTTGGCTCTAAAAGGGACACCAAAAGACAGGGCTCCTCAAAAGATACGTTTTGCAACCATTTGAAACATGGCTTTTTCCACCAAAGTAAAGGGAACCACCATTTGCAAGTTGCAATGTTCAGTTGTATAATGCATCCGGATCCCTTCTAAGAGGAACGCCAAGGGGTCGAGGAAATTGACTGGGTCTCAAGAGAGGACTTCAGCTCCTGAACCGGGTTACTTGGGCTGATAACAAAGCCAATGGGAAAGGATTTGTCTTGGCTTGCCAAAAAGCCGTCCCCTAAAAAAGCCACACCATAGGGGTATGGCCTGTTCTAGGATGGTTTCCACTAATTGCAAGCTAGCGGGAACCAGTTGTTTTGGGTATACAGACCACTATGTAGCCATTATATCAAGGGCATATGCTCATTTCTGTGGAAATACATGTTACAGTAGCGGTGGTTGACTGCCATGGTCACTCGTCACTAGTGGTCACCTTCTTCGGCTGCAACAGCTCCTCCTCCTTCCTATGGCTCTGAATCAGAGTATATGATGGGTCCCAGGGTCGCTGGGCAGAGTTTTCCAAAAGGAAATCCGCCTTCTAAAACGGGACCTTTGCACTTCAACATTTCTTGGGGAGGGCTACTTCTCTTGACGCCCCCTCGGCAAGAATATGGGTTTCTGAAGTGTGGGAACCCTGCAAGATTTGAGATCATTTGAAAAGAGAGCCCGGTGTTTAGCATCCACTTGCGATTCTTTTGTTTGATTTCCTCTGGTTTTGAAGGGAGTCTATCACAAGAAATAGGAGTTCCATGATTTCCCGTGGTTTTGAAGGGAATCTATCGCAAGACATCTGTCTTCTTCGTGTTTTTTTGGCTCAGCAAATTGAGGTCGAGGCTTTTTCGGACCTGTTGAAAGTCACACTTTCAAGCTCGACTTGTTTGGCAAGAACCAAGGTTTGGTTTTTGGACCAGGTGCGCATCTGGCTGCTACTGACCTCTGCAACTGCATGGAGCCCCAAAAACGGGAGGCCCCGAGTGAGACTCCTCTTAAATGCAGGTCGCTTTTTGAGCTGGACGCTAACCAGGGTTGTGGGATCCGGGGGTTTATCCCCACTTTTGTGACGCAAGGGAATCTCTCCCTTTAGTTGGGGGGTTAGTCTTTGGAAGCCCTTTCGGTTGCATCGCAGAAGCGGTCATTTCCCACAGCCATGGGTGGTTTCCATGTCAGTTTCCCTTCAAGCCCAAAGAGGGTACCCTTCTTGAAAAGCGACAGCCAGAGGTGGAGTGCGTCAAAGACATACACTTTGGTGCACTTTGCTTGGATGCTAGGACTTTAACTTTTTGCCAGCTAATGGGTAATCCGTATTAAATCACTAAAAGTCAGTCACTTTTAGCAGGGGTTACCCCAGGCGGATGACCCCAGGTGGATTCCATGACTTGCCCTGGTAGGAAGGAGCACGAGGTGGTGAACTTCGTGCGCCGCAGGGCGAAGGCCAGGCGGTCATGGGATCGGTGGGGCGCCAGAAGTGGTCTGACGCCCCGCTAAAACTATCCAATTGCTTAAGGAGGTGAGGATAAACCCCTATAAACCCCTATGTTTTGTGTTTTGTATATATATATATATATATATTAATATGCGTATTTGTTCCCCCTGTTGGTTTTAGAGGGAATCTATCACTACCGGAAAAGATATATATATATATATATATATATGTATTTCTGGGGCGCTTAAGCAAATGGAAGAAGATCTGACAAACCCTCCCACGTTCGGGCTGCTAAATCGCTGCCTGAGGTGTGAGGTATCTGCCGTGGGGCTCAGTCCAGTTGGCGAATCCATTTGAGTCATCGTTGGCATGACCACAAAGTCGAGCGCTCGCCCACAACCTCGAGCCCCAGGTTGTCCCTCTGTAAGAACTGAACCCAGCGCCAGAAAGTGGGCAGGTCAGCTTCCATTTTTGCAGGGTGGCTTGATTGTCCCCTTTTCCCTGTTTGGCCCAGGCTATCATCACCTGGCAAGACCCCGCATCGGGTTTTTATCGCCTGCAAGCGGCTTGACACCAACCGGTGGCTCCTGCGCCGCGTTCACCCCATGCCCCCTCCCCTCCCCTCCCATGCCCCCTCCCCTCCCCTCCCCTCCCCTCCCCTCCCCTCTCCCCTCCCCTACCCCTCCCCTCCCCTCCCCCCCCGGCCCAGAGCACGTCTTCCGCAAGGCCGGAGACCCAAAGGCGGTGCTCCGGGCCATCGAGGACTTCGCGCGAGGCAGGAAGTGGCTCAAGGCGCGGAGCCCCGGCGGAGCTGGAATTCGGAGCGAGACCCTTCAGCTGAAGGGCGGATTCGGCGCCATCCTTTGGTACATGGCCATGGGTCGAAATCCCAATAGTACCCCCAGTGAACATCCCAATTGACTAAAATGGGCGGTGCAACTACCCCAAAATGGTACCATTCGTTGTGACCCACGGCCACATGGGGAAATCAAAGGGACAGCTTAAATGTTTTAGGGGAAAACCAAATTCTATTTGGGTTAATGTCAAAAATAGGGAAGACTCCAACATGATTGGGTGACACCCCAAACAGACGATCCATTTGAAATGCCCATCTTATAGATTTGGAGTTCTCGCCGACTTGGGGGTACGAGCCGACAACTTGAATGTAAGTCCTTTGCCTGAGTCTGAATTTGCAGATTCGTCACAGAACTTTTCCGTTAGGACCGGGGGGTTGGGCGGTCCCCCTTCAAAGGGGTGTGAATTTTGCTCTTGCCCTCCCAGCACAAGTTCTGCACATGCAGTATGTTGCTCTCATGCCCGTGATGCTATGCTGTCAGCCAGGGCCAGGGGAAAACGGGCGAACGGAAAAGCAGAAGCCCTACCGGCGGTTTCATCAATGACAGTTTGTGTGCAAGGTGATGCTTCATTTATGCCAGGTATCATTGGCCATACATTCCATCCTTGGATTGTGAAACTTCAGTGTACTTATTCGTCAGATCAATCTTCAGCATTATCATTTTTCCAATGACTTATGTGTGTCATGGGGTGTTGAGGATGTTCTTCGGGGTTTAGGTTTGAAGCCATCCCTTTGAGACCGCCAGTCAACCTTGAGAGGTGTTTGAATCACTGACGCTGGTTTCGCTGCACGCGGCACGCGGTGCTTGATTTTTGTCTGATGACTTGTGACAGGCGGTTGTGCAAAGAGTCCAAGACCCGCACGGACACAGACAGTGTGTCACGCCAATCCTGGTGTGAAAGACGTCTAGTTCAGCGGATTGCTTGGGATCCCTTTGATTCAGGGATCTGAACTCTTGGCACAAAAGTAAAGAGAAAGAGCAAGCATGGAGCAGCGCAAGACAGGATATTGCAAACCAAGGCTCAGCACATGCAGATCCCCCCACAGTTGCCACCTTTCCGATTGGCTGGTTTCCTTGTGTTGGGCGCCCACCAGGGTTCCGGATAAAACATGCATGCTTGGATGTTCAACCCACTTCATCATGGAACTTGCCCATTCAAAACCAAGGTTATGTTCCAGGGTGAACGTGGAACGCCCAATCCTGGGCAAGACAGTGATTGAACCAACATGAGGGAATCGAATGCTGCTATCCACTCGCAAGCCCGGACCCCCACTAAACAACTCGAGGTTTGTTGAGGGAACTACCCCCAGACCCCAATTACAACCAAGGTTATAAAGCTGATAGTGAGTAACACTCAGTTAGCACATGGACCCTAATTCCGGATTTACCACCCATTTTGCTGATTGAAATCTCCTTCAATGCGTTAGCATACTGTACCTATTGGCTGGGTTACTCACCTTCACCTGAAGCTAGGGGCAACTGATTGTTTCTCAGCTTCATTGCTGTTGGCATGCTTCATTGGGGGCTGTGTTTGCAACTGGCTCCTTCAAGTGAGTTTTTGTTCCACCTGCCAATCCCAGGATCCCACTTGCCCACTGAACCCTCAGAGTAGAAAGCACTTTCGGGATTGACCGTGGGAGCCCACCAAACCGAAAAAGACATTGGGTACATAGGCAAGATGGGATATGGACTGTAGGTCAAAATAGGTACCCAAAATGGGTTGCACTGGTAAATGGAACCAAAGACTAAAACGTGCAGTCCCCTGGTGGCTTAATTTTGACCCACACCCATATTCTTACTGCATTACCCTTGGCTTTTTGAGCCCACCAAACCAAACTTTACCCGTGACCTTGGCATCTCTTTGCGCTTAACCCATGCTAAGGGTTGGACCGTCACCTTACCCGGGTGTGGGTGAAAAGTAAACCATCCAAGTTTCCATTTACCAGGGCAACCCATTTTGGGTACGTATTTTTGACCCACAGCCACCTGGACTCCTCATGGCACCTCGGACCAGGTGGCGGGCGGGCGGAAGGCCAAGCTGCTCTCGCAGAGCCTCCGCCCCGGGGATCGCGTGGTGGAGTTCGGCACGTGCGCATCGGATCGCCGGATGGGAGGGTGAGGGGCGCGTGGGCGCGATTGGGCGGTGGTGGTTTCTTTTGTGTACATTTGGGTGTGGCTCAAATTGAAACAGGAGGTGTTATGCAGGTTTTGGTCCATGTTTGAGCGATTGCTTAAACTTAAGACTTCAGCCTTCTTTATGTTTCCATTTAAAGGAGTCCAGTGTCTCGTTGTTGAGGCTCACATGGCCATGGGTCAAAATCCAAATCGTACCCCCAGTGAACATCTCAATCCAGCCACTAAAATAGGTGCTAAAATGGGTGGTGAATTCACCTAGCCCAAAATGGAACCATTGGTTTTGACCCAGCCACATGTCAACTTGCAATCGGTGCGATAGGGAGGGAACGAGAACTGGAACGAACCTGGGGGTCCCCGAATAAAAATAACCACCAGTTGAATGGTTGATGAATTTTTAAGGGTCATTCCCTCACTCCATGAGCATCCAGCAAATTTCCCGGCTGGTTTTTGCCCCACACGCAGACACACACGTCGCACATATTGAGACCTTCCTCGCACAGTGGACCTGGCTAAAGGGGATCGGTGATCGATTTTTTGCCACAAAAGGAGCAAATGGATCGCCAGCTTGCTTGCGAGGTGTCCAGGCAGCCAGTTTTCTTTGAGATATTCACCAGAGCCGACTTGGCCTGTTTTCTTTTTTCTTCTTCATTTTTTTTTTTTTAAAATATATATAAAATAATATATATATATATATATATATAACCAGCTTTTTTTTTTTAACCAGCTCAGTACCTCTTGGGGCACAGGGACGTGTGTTTGTCGGGGGGCGGGGGAGGGGGGGGGGGGCAGCGGGAAGATGCATTTGGAGGCGTGCGCAGGTTTCCCAAGCCCTGCCAGAAAAACGTCAGACGTTGTGAGGTAGTGGGACAGCCCGAGCAACTGCTGGCCGTGGCATGGAATGGCATGTTCCTTAGGGGGAAACCAGGCGCCAAGTGCCAGGGACGGGAACTGGGGCGTAACTCCCTTCTAAAAACCTTGATCCTTGGCTTATCCTGGGTTCCACCCCTCCCTCCGGGGTCCAATGGAAGTCTTTCCAGGTACATGGGCTACTCTGCGATGCTAATGGGATCTCGCCTGCGAGAATTAGGCGCATTCGCCTGGCATGAGTGCAGACCCGTACTTGGCTGTTCGATTTGCCAAGTTAAGTGGTTAGCAGCTGGGTCAAAACCTACTTACAACCAACCAACTCCACTTGTGGGACGCAAATAACCTACATGAATCTCACCACTTACTAACTTGCGAATCGAGGACCCTATGGGTCAAAACTAAAACATCAAGTCCTAAACCGCGGGTTTTGGTCCTTTCCCATAGGCGTCCTTTTTCTTTGGTTTGGTGAAAAAGTAGAGGGCCCTGGTTTACCTGGTGGTTGAATCATCCACCAGGGCTATCTGTTGTCCAAAAAGAACACCTACACCCTTTCCATTTAGCAGGGCAACCCATGTTGGTTGCCTATTTTTGACCCACAAAAGAACACTTGGACGGCCGGGCAATCCGCAAGAAGGGGGTTTCACTGTGGTTATCCAACAAGGGCTATGGCTTGGAATTGTCCAATCCTCCATATTGAACAGCCCCGCTAAATGTTGCAAAGAGAAAAAGGGACTCCTCGAGAAAAAGAAGTGCGATTTATAACCCTATCGTCGTGTACGGTTGGTTTGGACTCTCAAACCCAGCCACTTTTTGGGCAATATCGCATGTCTAAGGGCACTTTGAGGGTGGGGCTTCAAAAAACCTTGCTGGTGCTCAATGGCTCGAATTGAGCATTGATCAGGGACTGGCAATTTGCGTCAAAGTCATTGTTCTTCCTACTGTATGTAGTCAGAAGCAAACACCCCCACCACGGTAGAGGAGTGTCCCGATCCAAGGAAACTGCACCACGGTAGCTAGCCATGATTGGACCAACAGACGACGCCGATGTAATTGCGCGTTCCAAGAAACAAACACGGGGTGTGCGCACGTCAACAATCTGCGAGCGTTTTCTTGGCGTTCTGCCGGGGGGGGGGGGCAAGGACTACTTGCTGGTGCCAGAAGTTGGGAATGAGACATTTTCAGCCCGAGAAAAGCACACCACAGACACACACATCCCGCTGGTGTCCTTTCTTCGGGCGTCCATCCAAAACCGGTTATCTCCCAACCCGCGGACACTTTGGAATTCATCTGTCTGTGGGTCAAAACCCTGCAACCCCTGGTGATCAAAACAGGTGGTGCCTGGGTGTTCATCCGCCCCAAAATGGACATCTGGGGCGATCGATCCGGGGGAAGCGGAAGGCGGCGGGGGGCGGATCCAGTCCTGCGACGTGAGCGCCCTGACCTTCCCCTTCGCGCGGGAGCTGGTGGACTGGGCTGGTCTAGGCGCGGGTGGAGCGATTTGTTTTGTGGGCGCGGGGAGCGACGGGGCGAAGGAATTCACCAATCCCAACCAAAATGGGATCTTTTTGGTTTTGACCCATACCCTCTTGATCTTGCCCTATGGAGGCACGATCCGACCGGCCCCCAAAACTGGACTGTGCGACCCCCAAACCGCCGGGTTTTCCTCCGGGTTTCTCTGTGGGTTTCCCCCAAGAAACGGGCTTTTCCTCGGGTTTGTCATTTCCTCCATGTTTTTTTTTGTTTCCCCGGGTTTCCCCGCGGGTTTCCCCACAAAAACGGGGTTTCCTCAAGTTGGTTTCCCCCCCAACACGTTTTTTTTTGTTTTTCTTCCCGGGTTTCCCCATCATTTCCTCCCCCCCCAAAAAAAACCGTTTTTTTTTCGGGTTCCCCCAAAATCTTTGGGTTTTTTTTCCGGGTTTCCCTGTTGGTTTCCCCCAAACAACGGGGTTTTCCTCGGGTTTTCCCGTGGGTTTCCCCGAAAAAAAACGTTTTTTCCCCCAGGTTTCCCCGTTGGTTTCCCCGTCGGCTTTCCCTTTGAACCAGCAAGAGGCATAGGTGTCCTTTTTGGTTGGTTTGCTTAAAATATAGACGGCCCTGGTTTACCTGGTGGTTTAATCATCTACCAGGGCCATCTATTTTCCAAAACCGGGCCCTGCATTTTTTTCGTGCCTTCCGTACCACCAATGGTTTATTCCATTTACCAGACGCCCGCCTTTCACTGACGGCTGGCGTCGGCTTCTTCAGGCGCCGAGGTGACGCTGCGGATCGGCAGCGCGGCGGACTGGCTGAGCGCCGGCAGGCGGGGAGGTGTTCCTTGTCCGGCTTCCACGGGAGGCTTGGAGCAAGGAGTTATTTTTTTCTCTTTTTGTTTTGTGGGTTTAGGGTTTAGGGTCGGGTTTAGGGTTTCGTGATTTTGTGAGCAAAACGGGAGTCACCTACCGTTTTTTTTTTGGAGGGGGTGGGGTAGGTTCTGTGTTTTTTTTGGTGTGTGTGTGTGTGTGTGTGTGTGTGTGTGTGTGTGTGTGTGTGTGTGTTTGGTTGTGTTTTTTTTGGTTTTTGTTTTTTCCCCCGCGGGGGCGGGCTTTTTGTGGCTTGGTTCTGTTTCATTTTTACTAGGGGGCTGCAAGCAAACGCAGTTTGTTGTTTTTGCTACCATACCAAGGGTTGTGAAGATGGGTCATAGGCTTAGGAACTTGAATGCTGGGGATGCCTTTGACCTAGAGAGATCTAACCTAGCTTCCATTTGCTTGTTGATTTTCCCTTGTTGGTTTTAAAGGGAATCTATCACTACTGGAAATATCTTTTCCCAGGGGGCTTAAGCAAATGGAAGCTAGAGACATCTTCCCAGCTGAAAGAAGGACAGTGTAACACTTTTTGGGGCAGGGGGTATTAGCCATGAAATGAACACAGGGTGTTGGGGTGTTAGAACGTGAGATTGTGGGGATGATTGGGTATGTGGCTGAAAATTGGATTTTGACCCGCCAACTGGGTTTAGTTCCCTTTAAACCAACCCTAAAAGGGTACCCCCAAAACAACAAGGAGCCAATTGGATCTTGCGTTGCTACCTTCTGCTGAGCCCCTTCAAAGTGACAATGTAGTCATACTATACGGGTGGCCCACTTTGTCGCAGACAAGTTTGCTTGCCACGACAACCTGACTTGAGCAAAGCCATGCGCCTAAATACCCGCTCCGGCTCACCTCAGGTCGGGCATGCCCTTCCTGTTTTTGCCATACAACTCGTCGCACGCCACACTCGGAAATGTCCTTTTTGTGAAGTAGTGGGTTATCTACAAAGGTTTCCTGCCTGTGAACATCCTCAGGAAAAGCTGCTTGCGAGAGTTGGATAGAGCATGTGTACTCCAAGCGGAAAATCTTGTTGTGCCTGCTCTATCCGCTGGAGTACACATCCTCATAGCTATCTATTGTACACGTCCCAATATTGTACTCCACCTCATATCGTGCCTGCTATGCTAGCCGGCATCCGCTGCAGCCGGGTTTCGGAGGTTGGGCAGCATCGATGTGCTGCTGTTGGACCACCGTGGCACCGTGTACCAGGCGCCGGC